TGCCCAACTATGCCAATACCTTATGTCATAATCAATGCTACTGGGCCTACCAAAAGTACCACCGGAGGCATGGCTCTTGTCATGAACACAAAATTCCATACCGACACCTTATACACGATACAAATTACCGATCGAAGCAGCCCGTCGCGGTTGTTTAGTGAAGAAGAGGCCCGATGACCAATGGGTAAATGAAGACATAACATCCCATACCGGTGAGTCCGCCGGTGCGAGTGGTCTATAATTATATACCAGTGAACGAATGGACATTTAAGAGCGCCTATCCGGTGCATTCCAGGGATCAATTGGTGGACTTGATGTACAAACAGAAAGTGCCCATGGCAGAAGAGCTCTAGACAAGATGGAATCAGTGGAATCATCCTGCGCAGGCTGTTATCGCGGGTGCCGATGACTGGGCTTCGGCTCAGTTCGCTGAACTTCCACCGGACGCGTGGTTCCAACCCCGTTCGGGTGTGAACCGCGTGGTATTGCCAGGACTCCCACCCTGGACAGGTTCGCAATCCCTGTCGGGTCGAGAAGGGCGGTTAATCCGCGAGCCGGTCGTTCGGTCGGTCCACTGGTGTGGCCACGGCCAGCCGGCTCAGTTGGCTGTTCGTGCCTAGCTCCACAGTCGTGGTAGAGTCCGGATCGTCCGAGTAGCTGCACCAGTTCAGGAGAGGCGCCAGCATATGGATGGGGCACTTTCAGACAATGACAGTCATTATTGTGGAAAGAAAGGAACATGTCCTCCTCGTTGAAATGTGGGTGCCCACCGCGGATCGAAATGGTATGCCGATATTCAAGAAGTTCAAGCTAGTGGACTCGAATGCTTTCACAGGGTCTCTTGGATTGTTTGTCATGACGCACATATTGAATTGTGCGTACCCTAACAGGTCATTAATAGTGTCGAGCCGCATCGAATTTGGCCAAGGATAGGCCTCATTTGCCAGATACTAGGCACGTCGGATAGACCTTGGATTTATGAGCCTTGTGCCAGACTAAACTAGATATTGTAACTCAAAGCCATTATGATGTGCACTAATTTGGATGTTAAGTACCTAATCTTAGCTTCGTGTCTACCTTTCAGCACGAGCACAGCTAGGAAACGACAGCTTCAAGATGGCACTCAATTGGTCTCTTGAGATAATTTGTGTGATCCCGACACGGCAGAGATGGATACGATCCCGGTTGAACAGCACAGCATACCAGATGAGATCCCTTTGCTGTTCAAAAATCAGTGATCTGTGTGGAGGAGTCCTGCCGAGGCGATGGACATCGACCACACGCCGGGCTTACCGTCTATGTGCCAGAAACGCATAGCCAGAATGGACTATGGTGCACCTAATCGCTGGAACGGCGCTTGCTGGATATGCTTGACTCTGAGGAATTGTAGGCCGCGATGCCAAAAGAGACTCCTTTTGCTGCACTCGTCGATGCATACAAGGATCGCCCATTCTACCTCCTTGACGGGTTACTCGAGGTTGACGTACGCAGGGCTCTCGTGTGTATCGCCATGACTGGTACATCCACATACGCGATGTGCGGCCATCGATATCAATCACATGAAAGCAAGAGCAACTATATGTTCTCACCTTTCATATAATTGTCGATGTTCAAATTGTTAATCCTCAAAGAGAGGGGATTGCTGAACGACATATGGAGGCCATATTCATCGTACCAAGCGCGGCAGGCTTGGTCGCAGAGCTCCATGAATGGTCAAACGATAAGTTCACTCAACGCTGTCCGTACCTTGTGAACAGTGCACCGAGAAGGTCTGTCGCTAGCGGACTTGTTCCAGGCTGCGAGGGCTCGACTCAGCTTTCCAATAAAGGTCAACGGAAAGCGTATGTTCTTCATACGCGGGTCCAGTGGTGACTCCTTGTGAGCAATGTGACTAGAAGGCGTGTTGATACACGGAGTGTATTGTTTACCCTTCTTTTGGCGGGGCAGCGCTTTATTGTACAGCGTGCTTGAATTGCATTGCCCGTGGACGAGGAAATGAATGCACTACTATTCGTCGAGCTAATACGAAGGCAGGTGGTCTCGTTCTCGTCATCGACGGAGGTTGTATCGGGTATAGATATCTTTGCCCGAAGCCTCCACCCTCATGAAGCAGGAGAGCTCATGCGCCGGGCACTCGCTCTGTTGATGGTCCGCAGAACCATTATGTCCACAATACCATTTCAAGGAGGAAAAATGATGGGTATACTTGACACAACCGGGGCAGCGTGGATGCTCAAACAAGACAGACAATGGAGCGAAGTCGGCGCTACTTAAGATGTACCAGCTGTATACTGCATAGCTGCATTCTGTGGTGGAGGAAAAAGCATGTCGCAGCCTAGGTAGGGCCATGTACACGAATGAATCAGGGTGACACTCAATCGCAATATAGGACGGCGAAAGTGTACCACGAGACAACGGTTCTCACAAGCGAACTCCAGCCGAAGGGCATATCTCCCGTGGTTTAGCAGTAGATTGGTATCGTCACATTGGCGCATCTTGATTCCAATTGAGCAAAATTTGATTTGTCCCTAGACCCAAGGATTCAGTTGTATACAACGCCTATGCGGGATGAGAGTGGAATGTAGTAAATAGCATACGTTGCTATGTGTAGACTAGCTTGTATAAGTGTGGCGGTGTTGGTATTAAGTGGCCCTACTGTCGTGACTCTGAATGGGTTGCCATGTAAGTCTATTGAGAGTCGAGTTGGGCATGTGGTAGCAACACCATTATCTAGTATTCATAGAACCAAATCTCGTTCGATATACAGCTATGCACATAGAATACGGTAGATTGCAATAGAACACAACATACTAAAACCTATACCCAAATCTGCCCAGCAGAAACAGAACCGATCGCAGAATCAGCAGTAACAGAAACATCAAAGAGAAATACCAAACAGACATTGTGAAGAACCATTCGGATATACGAGTATAAGGCTACTCTGGCCTACCAGGCTGGGGCTGTGACTCCGCTATGGTATCCTGTTGCTCCGCAGCCGGCTTGATCGGGGAACTGCATGACGATACTGTGTTCGTAGCAAGCGATGACATTTTGTGAGCTGGATGATTATGGGCCGTGCGGCTTGACGGATTCTCATTTGAGGCTTTCCTTGTTGCATTCCGTCTCGAGCCACTGGCAGATTGCCCTGTTCGTATCATTGCACGTCTCTGCTTTCGCACCACGATGCATATGGCCACGATCAATACACTCAGCCCAATCGTGACCACTCCAGCCCCAACTCCGATTCCTGCTTTATCTTCCGCAGATAGACCGTAATCGGTGATTGATCTCGATATTGTTGAAGAGGATGCTATTGAGATAGTTGGGGTGAGAGCCATCGCGGACAAGGAAGCCAGAAATGATGCGTCGTTCGGCAAGACGGCAATGGGTGCACTTGTAGTGGAGGGTAAGATGGCACCAGAACTGTCTTCAGGCGGGGCGCTCGTAGACAGGCTGTTTGTGGTGGTGCTTGTGGGTGTTGCTACCGTTGATGCAGACAGCGGAATAGACATCTGGATATTCCAGCCCATTACCGCCATTGCCCTGACAGTCGAGCTTGTGGTCAATGTCGTGGTGGCTATTGTCCAAACCCTCGAGTTCTCGGGTGCAGTGAAGGCGAAAGTCAGTACCATATTAGGCGACACGGTTGACAGGCAATCGCCATCTGGGACCGGCCTCTCACGAAAGTAGCCTCTTCCTGATAGTCAGCCTCTGTAATATTTGTATTCTACGAATGGGGGTGCACGTACGAGGGACAGCATATGGCCAGTGTGCTAGATCCATCCTTGACAGAGGTTCCTACGGTGTGGAGGTAATCGGGGCAGGTGAGAGGACCAAGGCTGATTGTCGTGTCTGGGTGCGCTAAGACGACCTGTTTCCATGAGATTGCTATTTCCGATGGTGCGCATCCGACCGACGGGTCACCTTCGAGGCCAACTCTCGGATCAAATGCTATTAGCGAAGGTTTATCGATGCGAAAGTATGTTGAACAGTCTGGTGGCATAGGCCAGCCGGTTGTAAGCGGAATCCATGATGTGACCCTCTTGTCATTGGTCTCAGGCGGGTAGAGTGTTGCTGACATGGGCCAGAAATCTGTAGGTGAGGTTATAGACGGTGTCTATATTTCCCTATAGCCAGAAGGTGGTAGGAGGCCTTCTCGTTGCGCGCTAGGTTATTTCCCCGAGGTCCACAAGAGGATATGTCACCAGACGATAGAACGGGTGTATATAGACACAGGATGTAAAACTAAGATACCTGTAAATATAGACATCTTGATCATATAGGTGGTTCATGCAAGTGAGGAATGTTGCACAAGATATACCAGTCACAAATTGATACAAAGGAACTTAAGACCACTCGATGCCAAGACACAAACCTGGTCAGGTCGCTCGGGGGGAAGGTGATAACCAAGCATCTGCATACACACAGTTTGCAAGGACTACACGGTGTCCAAGGTCTAAGTAATCTAGTTTGCCGGGATCGATACCACGAGATCATCAAATACCCTAAAACACGTATGATTATCGACGACAGCGAGGGCTGTACTTCAGCGGAGGGTGTGACGAAGTCTTGAACACTGATATCGTAGGTCCAACCTCAAGCTAGTTCTTACACACAGCGTGGAAAATGGTTACATTGATATGCAGGCCGAGACTTGAAATGTTCTAGATCGCCGATTTTCGCGTAGGTGGTTTGCAGCACAGGAAAGTGACTGCCTAAAATTCTTCAGACCAGGTTTTGTCCTAGTACAACCCCGAAACCAATACATTGAGCTCTGTATTCATCTTATCTGGACACGACGTGGTACTTGCACTACATGGGTGCAGCTTACCCCACACTTCTTGTCGGCGCTGATACAGCAGAGCCATCGGCTTGCTATACGTGGTACTGAGTTAACAGAGAATATTACTTCTAGTTAAGACAAACCACACAAAACGCTATAAGTGGAGTACCAATATCTGGGGGGTGGCAATGAGCACGCAGGTAGACAGAAACTATAGCTACCTTACGTTAATCTCGCAGAACCATGGATCGGACAAGATTTGCGCTGGCGAAGGTCTTTTCGAGGGATCATATTGCAAGATCCACCGAATGAGCCCCTTTACTTTTCTAGCTTCCGTCTCATCAAGATCAGGCTCTGCAAGATCAAATGATTCCTCCATGGACGTCTGCTCCAGCATAAGCGGCTCCTCCCCCGGAGCGACTCCTCCCAGCTCACAATTAAAGAGCTTCCTCTCCGTCGTAAAGTAGAGGGACGAGTTCTTCCAGTTACTAAAGAGCTCGTCCGGGAGGGGACCTAGTCGTTCGATGAGGGAGAGAATATGATCGTCGTCCTCATCCTCGGACCCTGGTATACAGAAAAGCGGCTGTCCAGTGATAAGCTCAAAGACAAGACAACCGAAGCTCCAGACATCAGCAGTGTTACCAACGGCTCCGGTAAGAATCAATTCGGGGGGTCGCAGACCGAGTGGAGTAACGGGCTTTGTTGGCGGGTTTGTAAAGAAGTATGCTGTTCAGGGTACACAGGTGTAAGCATAGATACTCGTCAAAACGAAACAAATAATCGAAACGGGTGAGACTAACCGCCGCCCATATCGGATAATTTGGTCTTGAAACCCTCAGCATAGTAGGTAAAGGGCACCAACGGCTGCGCAACGCAAAGATATCGAGGAGCCCATCTATCTGGCTTACCATCTAACCTCTGCACAGGTGCGGAGATTGACCGGGCTTGTACATCTTCCTCCTGCTGAAGTACTTCCTCGGGCGTCGAGGCTATATCGCTTAGAGTGCAGAGTATATTTCCCGGCTGGAAATCTCCATGTGCTATACCATTCTCGTGGAGAAATGCAAGAGCCTGCAGGGATTACTTGAGGATGCTCTTTGCCATCCAAAGCGGATAGCGGACTTTTATTCCTTGCCGGCGAGGATTAAACTGCGGCAGCGCCTCGACCATAGTATTAACACTTGGGCCCATGGGCTCAAATACCAGGCATTTGTGGACACCATTGGGGCCGCGGTGTTCGAACTCGCCTAGCAGCGGCGTGACATGCCGAGACGCTTCTGCTGGTGCGGCTTCGGCGAGGTGCCGTAAAATTCGTAGCTCGGTTGTCGATCCCGAGATTTCCGATACAAGTATCTTCAGGGCCACATATCCACCATCCTTACGGGAAATAAGTCACGAGTATATACAACGCAAACGATGGACTTACTTCAGATCGCGAGCGAGCCAAACTGTCGAGTAGGAGCCGTCACCGAGCTTCCGGATGACCTTGTACCGGCCATTGTTGAAGACATCCCCGAGGATGACGGGATGGTAACCACCTGGGCGGTAATCCTCCACGCACTCACAGGGTAATGTAATAGTTTGGAATCTCCACTCGTCGTCTATTACAGCCCTCGATGGCGGAGTCGGAGGAGGTGAGACACTCATGGCGACGACGGAGATGGGCTATCCAACGGTTGTAGAATGAACTGTTTTGAGGATGCGAGATTGTGATGGGGTTTCCAAAACTGCGGGGGAAACTGATCTCAAAGAGTGTCGAGCAGGGTCTCGGGACATGACCCGTACTATTTTTAGCTCTTTATCGTGATCGATATAATCAAATGCAGTTTCAATCAAATTATGAAGACCTTATATAAGCGGTGAGACATCCTATTACCGTATTGATGTTGTTACCGCATAACAAACCTGTTTTCTATATTAAGCTGAAGGAGCGGGTGTCCTGGATCGAGTAAATAGAATGCAACCGGGGCCACAACAAGCACAGCGCCTGGGGGCAAAGAGTTATAAAGTCATGTAGAATCGCACATATCTAACCACAAACCACATCATCTTCACTCTGCCAACGTTCACTCTCTGCTGATCTTTTAAGTAGGTAAGCTGTTCAGTTACAAGGAACTGAAGACATGCTGATACTTGTTATCAGAGCAGTTGAAACAATTGTCAACCCGTCAAAATACATCTACCGGTGTTTACTCTAATTGCTTCCGCTCCTTTAGTCTTCGAATGCACCTTTGGATTCTGAATACTGCAGGAGACTTCCTATGACGGCGCGAATTCGGTCCCGTGCCGTGCTGGGATCTGGGAGAGCAACAGTCCCGACTTCAACAGCGATAGTGATCAAGCGGTAACCGATATTGGGTGCAACGGGGTTTGCCACAATCTTGACTATAAAGGCGAGATCTACCAAGTTTGTTATGAGAGGACCGCAAACCACGACCTGCAAGGGCCCATTACCATTGAACGCACTAGTAACGGCGGTGGTACAACGCGCAATACCCTGACGGACAGGAGCATAGATATACAAGCAGCGTGTTCCTCGGTAGTGTCGATATACACGGTTACTATGTCTCGAACAACAAATTTCCCTGAGATCCTGGTGATGCTAGGTTAGTGAGCAACCTTCTCGGGGTGGATCAGATGGGCTACAATGAGCTTTTGGGCGGGACAAGTCTTCCCCTAGTACAGCTCAAGTGGGGGTATTTAGCTTTGTGCACATGGTCATACTTCAAGCAAAGAGTTATAATTTGAATGTTTATTTAAAGCCGAAAGGGTCAGGCCGATATAAGTATAGAAAAACATCTCAACTACACCACTTGTTCTCCTTTCCTGGCCTCGCCTATCTACTGACTCTCCTCCTGGTCGTCATCCTCATTATCGATCTCAATATCTTCATCAGAAACCTCTTCTAGCTCCTCGTTTCTCTCAGCGAGCCAGATATCCTGGCGAACCCAGATGTCGTCAGTGAGGACCTCCAATGTAGCATGGGGGAAGACATAGTCTCGCTCGTTCGCGGCCGGTTGGCGAAGCCACAGTTCCTCAAATTCGATGCACAAAAACGGGCCGTTGATATGTGGACCACTCTTGGTCTCCATGATGTGGATTCTTTGGGCGCATCTAGATTGAATCAGGGGCCCAGCCCTAAGGCTATGCCCGGCGGTTGGCACCAACTTTTCGACTTGGATATAATGCTTCCCTCGTTCAACAGAAACTATGATAGCTGCCTTTGCCTCAAAATGTGCCATCCATATGCTGGCATCCCTCCTCAACTGGGACAGCCCTACGGACCATCCACACTGGAGGACAACTGTGGGCCAGTTCGTTTTCCGTCCTGCAGGGAGGTATTCAGGTTTGGGGAGCCGTTGGTCATCTGGCTCCTTCTTGACGCGCCCATTATCGGCTATTGCTGACCCGAGGCTGAGGTATTTGTCCCTGAGCCCCATGGTATCAAATGCTCGGCGGAATATATGACCTAATGACCTGGAGGCGTGCATTAATGCTATTGTATGTCTCCAGAACACTATCGATGCGCTCCTCTAAGGCACGCAACAGAACAGTGAACTCTGCAGTCAGAGTGTCGCTATCAGACAGAGTCTTTGTACCGGAAGACGTAGGGGTAGAAAGAGGGGGTTTGTCAACAGGTCGCTCTGCGAAATCCAGGTCATCAAAGAAAAAATCGTGAATAGACGCGCGGTTGGGAGAAGCTGTCACCGGTACGACAATATCATCTGGCACGACAGCCTCAACTGGGGCAGTGTTATCACCAGACACCACGACCCCAATGGATGCGGCGAGATCAGCGAACACACTGACATCAATCACAGCCAAGTCTTTACTCCCTACACTCTTGAAGTACAAAGCTCGGATAAGGCCTCCACAGCTGATAATATCCCTATCAAAATCAGTACTAATAAAGGATACGGGAGAAGATGGGGACCCTACCCGATACCGCCACCTCCTGGGGATCCTTTGGAAACTTTATTATGAGCTGGCACGTTTCTGAATTATAGCAGAAGAGCATTGCTCTGGATCCAAGGATCTATCCAGTAATGGGTGTGGTCCCCACATCGTGGTGGCAAACACTTGAATGCCGCATAAAAGCTCACTAGATGGAATTCTCCTGGACCAAAATCCTCTAAGAGAGGTTGCCAAGATAGTTCATGAAGAAGGTATAGGTCTGGTTCTTGATGTGAGTCTCATATTGGTGCAGCATTTTTGAGGGCCGTCATCTTTAGCCTTTTGTCAAACGGCCATGGCCAAATCTGTGAATATTGCGCTGGTAGAAGAATTCATCAGCTGCTTTTAGTGGCTCTACGATCTAGGTGAAGCGGCATTGGTGCACATGTTGAGCCCCCGGAGTGAATTCTATTTTAAATGCATACGCTACGCTGAACTAGCTCGTTTGTTTGTATAGCTGGCGATGCATTCAAGGTTGCAATTGGTGTGATTATCCCTGTGAGTAGACGCTGTTGTAGCAGAAATTAACTCTAAGCACTAGGAGATAATATATCCCTGGTTACCACAATATCCGTTCATAAAAATAAGATCAGAAGAAAGCAATATTCATTAGCTTCGGCCATAGGTGAATAGGTCCTGTACAGCAATAGATCGTCGAGCTCGGCCGTGGTGGCAGATACAGCAGCTTTAAGCAGCATTCATGGAAACGCTTGTCATATTAACATGGCTAATCTTACACACAGCCAAGTGTGGACGGAGGGACATAGCGAAGTGAAAGTGATAGAATCTACTTTAAAGCAGTCTTATTGAATGAATAGAGAGGTGTTATATTGAGCAATGTCTGCTCTTGCAACCAGAAGACTAGATCTAGATATCTTCACTTTTAAGTGTGTCCTTGGCTAGACCCTTAAATTACCTCAAGACCCAGTATCATAATGGAATTGACTTGACATTAGCACAGAAGCTTGAAAGTGTACGGACCTTCAATCGTCCGTTCCTTTACTCCTGTTCCTTCTGATATCAGAGCCTTCAACCCTTCAAGCCTACGTAAGAAACTCCCCGAACTCGTATTTTTTCCCCATGCTTCGCAGTCGCCGGACCATGGTGACATGCAAGCTAGTGAACCTGCCGAACAGCTTGCCCCATTCTTGTGCATAGAACGCTGCATCTGTTAGTGTGGTACTTGAGCAAGCCAGGGTGCCTTTTCAAAGTATGCTCTGGATCAGCAAAAAGTGTTGAACTAATGGCGGTGAGGCGCCAGTGTACGGTAGACTAAATCTAGCTAACGGACAATGGGACTGAATTTGCGATTTCTTACTGAAATATTAGCATTTAATATAAAGCGACGGCTATCACGCGCCGTTAAAGACTTAGTGTCTTACTGACCCCGAATCTCACTACCACCACCGGAACTGGGGACCTAGTCTACGGTATCCAGCATACTAGAAGTCGAAAGTCAGAGAGAGCTGTCGAGCACCGGTGTTACTGAATATCTAGTACTAATATCTTTAAATACCTACTAGTAGCGCTGATACTTCTCAAGACCTAGTATTAATATCTCTATAGATCTAGTACTGGTGATCTCTAAAATTCTGGTACTGGCACCCCTGAAGATCTAGTAGTAGCTTCTCTAAATATCTAGTACTGATTCTACTGATATTTGTAAACATCTAGTATTGGTATCTCCTCAAGATCTAGGGTCCACTCCTAAGGCGGTCAATATCTCGGAACTGGACTTGTCAATAGTGGAAAAGTATAGAATTAAATTGGAGTATATAATTGGCTGAAATATAGGGTGGGATCGAATCAATATATTTAATTGGTCAGTATAAAGTGTATCGATATTTGTAAAATTGATGGATAATATCTTACATTGTCCGTTAGCTCGATTCAGTCCGACGTACCGGATGCCAATCGTTTATAGTAGTGTGCACGACGGAAGTGGATAAAAGGGCAGTCCCAACAGTGCAGATCGTATCCTGCACGGAGATCTGCAGATTTCGATCCTTGATCGGACATGTTCGGCTGCGTCCATGTCCTGCAAGGACCAATCTTTATTCTCGCGGGCACGGTAGTGGCCCACTTAAGCTGTACCATCGTCGCGAAAGATACCTCCTGTGGAGGAACGCATTAATATTGCAGCTCGCCCCTTTCAGAGAGAGGGAGAGGCGATACACCAGCTTGACTACTGTTCAATTGAGAATATCTTCCGTAACGAAATCGCCAGCGTCCTCAACCCAGTCGTTGTAACATTGTCGATATTGCATCATGCCTCACCAAACTGTAACTGACAACAGGCTGCCGACCAAGCTGCTCGAGTCATGGGACATTACGTCGATGTGGCTCAGCGAAAATAGAGACGATATTCAGGAATGGTGGGAGTTCTGTGGCCCACAACTCGCAACACTCGCACATGAAGCCGGCTACAGCACCGTCACCCAGATAGAATTACTTCTCTTCATTCGCTCTATGATTTTGCCGCAGATAGGACGCTTTCCTCACGCTTCCCGCTCACCGGCTTCCGTGCAAAGCAGAAGCATACTCACCTATGACGCTCGCCGATTGAGTACAGTTGGAAATGGAACTGCTCTGCGAACGACCATCCTGAGATTCGTTTCTGCGTCGAGCCAGCGGGTCATAGTCTATCTGCCAATGGTATCGTGTGTGACAAACTGCGCGCAACTGATGAAATCATGGCGCAGCTTGCAAAGCGTCGGACGGATGTAGACCTTGAATGGTACTATCATTTTCGCGACCGATTACACATTACTGATTGGATGGATGGTCCTACTCATGAGAGTGAACGGCCGTGGCAGGGCAGAACGCCACGAATGCCCGTTGCGTTCGAATTTACGCCGAAAGGGATCATCGCTAAAGTCTACTTTACACCACCAGCAACCCCCAACAACACTTCCTCTTTCAACACGTTTGCGGATGTCGTGCGTCCAATCTGTGGCAACGATACTGTCGCCCTGGCTGAATGTCTGACATTCCTTTCCAGTGACCCGGTTGGGGCTACTTTGCGACCAGATGTCTTGGCCATTGACTGCGTGTCGCCCCTGAAATCACGTATAAAACTGTACGCAGGGACACCCATAACCACATTCACGAGTGCCATATCCGTGATGACGCTGGGTGGACGGATCCCAGTCCCTCGATCTTCCATCGATGACCTCTGGGCCTTGTTCCGCGTAGTGCTAGGGCTGGACGACAAATTCTGTCAGGACGAGGAACTACCCGTCCAGAATCCATTCCAACCCAGTCGGGCACATCCTGAAGACTACTACAGCGGCCTACTCTATTATTTCAATCTCGCACCTGGCTCACAGTTACCTGACGTGAAACTGTACTTACCCGTGATCCGGTACGGGCGTTCAGACGCAGATAACGCACTCGGACTGCAGCAGTTTATGATATCGAGGCAGAGGGGACAATACGTAGATGGATTCCAACGCGCTATGGAGGCAATTGCTCAAAGGCACAATATTGGAAATGGCTATCGCATCCAAACGTATATTGCATGCGCGTTTGACAAGGATGGCTCTCTGTCACTGACCTCTTACCTCAATCCCGGTGTTTTTTGCTCATCGGGAGCATCGATGATTTAGACTTCCGAACAGGTGGTTTTCGAGGAAAGTCTCTCTTGTACTCTATTATAGTTGGGCTTTACATATATACAGGGAGTCGTGCTCTCGATCTGAAGAGCATAAATCAGCACCAACTCCACGGTCTCTACCCCCCGTGCGCAGCTGCCTGACCCGACATCTTATTTATCACTAAAGCACCCAGACAGGTACGGGAGGCTACATTACACGAGGATGTCCCGCCTGCTAACTCCATCAGAAAGCCACATAACCATCACGATGGAAGTCTGGACCGAGGAAAAGGAGCAGAGCGTCGTACGCAACACCCTCACGGGCAAGCTCTACTTCGAGAGCCAGGTGATCTGGGGCCCCCACGGCTGCCATGACAGCGCAGAGCGTCTAGCAAACGCCCTGCGAGCGGTCGACTCGCGTTTTGCCCTGATCCTCGAGAAGGGCAATGACCATGGATACGCAGGACAAGTGCGATCGATCAGCGTCAAGGACCAAGACGGCAATGTCATTCTGGACAAACTCAGTACCGACGGCAACATGGATTCGCTGGCTGAAGTTGTCATGGAGACCATTAGACAGCATGGGGCTCCTTGAGGGGTTTTCAGTTGTTTTAGATTTCCTCACTCGATGTAGACTGAGGGTGTGGGCATTCAGTTTGATTCGCCTGGATAACACGAGATGTTTTCAACATTCTATTGTAGACTGTGAGACCTGATGCTAGGGACATGACATGCTAGTAACAGATTCATTGTTTTATCAACCAATCCGTCACGCATCTTCTTGTCTTCTTGTTAGAAGGCTCTGGGGTGTGTGCGTAGCCTTAGGCTATGACATCCGTCCTTCGAGTGTGGAATAGGTCCTGTAACGTAGGGTTGTCAATCCAGGTTCGACAAATACTTCTATAGAGGGCTGAACCATCACATGGCATACGATATCGATGCTGTACTAATCCCAAGCTGTTCAATACCTGGACGAGAAGTCTCCTCCATTATAATGCAATCCATGACGATGGACACAGCATTGTTTGAATTGGAAGAGAACGAAACATGCCGATGATGGACGTGGGTATCACTGAAACTGATATCACACCGAGCTGTGATCCAAATTGGTACCCCGTGGAAGGTCATACAACCATGGTTGCTTCTCTTTTCCTCCTTATTTCTTACCTTCCTTAGGACTGGTATGCGAGATAGATACTCTCCTCCTGGAGCATTTTCTTCCAGACTATACCGAAGACGCATTACTTAACGGCAACACACTCTCCTGCGCCGTTCCAGAAATGTCTTCAAGGTATGCATTATCCTCCCATGGAGCTTTATATCTCATAATCAAGTCCTGTAGAATAGTATTTATCAATCGTAAGAAAATTCCGGCACGGACTGCTATTACATTGTTTACACGATACACCACGCTGCATGTATGATTTTTGAGGAACCATAATCGCGTAGTGTGACTTCATCAAACCGTTCAGGTTTGTTACATTCTCAATTCAGAATATGAATATCACTAACTAATTTTTATCTGGAATACGGCAATCTAGCCACGCCCAGGGTGCCGATGGAACTGGGCCGTCATCTTTACCGAGAATCAATCGATATGCGACCTTAGATATATTTTGCTTTGCGTAGTTGGCCTCAAACAATTCAGCTCATTATCTTATCTTACTTGGTGAGCAACGTGATGGCGATTATCATGCGGGGCAATACTGAACGTAGACAATGAAAACCTAGAATCGAAGCTGTATATATTCTTATTAAGGGTCTGCTGAGTTGATACCAACCCACAGTAACTGCCCTTGAGACATGTTCATCTGCGATTATACCATGGGAAATGGCAAAGCTCCTCGCGAATCTCATGTTCTAGTGCGGCGATTGAAGCAATCTCAGAAACGCACAACGGACCGATTCCAATTGTTCATCATCGAGATCGTCATCTGCAAGTCCGAAACAAACCTCCCAAAGCTCCAGATCCTCAGGAAATCTCACTTGCTTTGACACTTCATTGAAAAGCTTTTGAACTGTTTCAGGCAGGTTGATCGGCTGATCAGCAGCAATCGAAAGGCTTTCCAAGACTAGTAAGTGTCGCTCCAAGTTTCGCCTAGAGAGAGCAACGGCAATGGCATCGGTCTCTTTTGGATATTCTGTGACGGCAGCCTGAATCATGCCACGGTACAGCTGTCGATAATGAGAAAGCTCCTCCGGTGAATTCTCCTGGACAAAACACTCTTCCATCCCGTAACCGTAGTTCATGGGATCCCAATCACGGGTAAGCCAGCTAGGGTATCTCTCGTTACCCAGGAATCTCGGCACTGTGGAAACACCTTCCCAGTCGATCAATGCACACACCTTACCCTCGTCGGAAACTAGAATATTCTGAAAGTTGAAGTCGGGGTGTGTCAATACAAAGGGCTCTTTCGTAAACTCCGACCATGGTAACCATTCTATGAAGTGCTTTAGAAGTCGATGTGCCCCTTGACTAAACTTGTCATCCGGTGGCTCGTGACGCTCGAACATGCAGAGCATCCAGGCCTTTGGGTCTGAACTAGGCTCAATCTCGGATTGAATGATTGTGTCCCATACGTCATTCTTTCTCAGTTCTTCCAACATTGCCGGCATATCTATGACTCTCAACGGTCCTACACCAATGGGATTATTGCTGTTATCGAAAGTTGGCGAGCCGGCCTCAGAAAAGGTGAATTGATTCAGCTGCAACATAATTTTGGATAGATCCAGTAGAACCTGTGTCCGATGGCGCTCTAGAGTAGCGGCATCTAGTTCTTCATTGAACCAAACATGGCGGGTCGACTTGCCATCAATGTACTGCATCAATATGTAGGGACAGCCCAGGTCATTATCTAGGGTGGCTGAGAATGAGAAGACAGTCGGTATGGGCATAGTCGTTTTTCGCCTAAGAAACTGCATAGTTGAGGCTTCTGCGATCAAGACACGGGCATGCATATCATTGAAACCTCCTGGATATCCATGCACGGGAATTTTTAAAATCCACTTTTCGCCGGTATTGAATTCAAGAGGAATGAGGATGTTATTAGAACCGAAGAAACGCTCAGGCAAAACACTACAGCTGGTGCATGTCGATGTTCCGTCTTCTTCATTTTCGCCCTGCTGGCGAATGGATAAGACAAAGGGTGGTATCTTTGCCAGGTCCAGGTGGTTAAGGACCGGTTGAAAGGCCGCCATGTCATCTTCTCCGTCACTCATGATGTGGGATTTTCCTGATCGGCAGTGTTTATTCTCCAAAGCTAGACACTTTTGGTGACTGAACAGAATTTGCTAACAGCAGAAGGGCCAGGGTAAATCGGGTGCAGGAAATTCCAAATATCGACCTGCAATGTTAAATCACAAATGGGAAGGATTGTGTTCTTGGCTTTAAAAGCCGTCGTCGGAAGACAGGCACGTGAGACGTATGTTGTTTACAATCCACATAGACCAGAACGACGTAACCCTCTTCATCATAATCCACGCCCCTAGTATTGCCCGGAGTAGAATGTATCGGACCTGGTGTATGACGTAAAGAAAATATACGATATTCTCAGCATTCGCTCATCCCCGGAAAATATATATGTTCAGATTAGTCTCTACAATTTTGGCATCTTATCTATACCGTCTATTTATGGAATACATAAAGGAAATATATCAAAGCGTCTATATCCAATGTGGTGACGGCAAGCGAACCATGGCTTGCCCTAGTAGATGGCTTTCACCTGGTTGACTTGTATCCACAAGCCCTTGCCGGAAACTCAAGCAACTCGACAATTCGCCTGTCACCGCATGCTTCAAGATACATACAAATAGCTTGACATTCAAGCGTAACGCGGGGACCAACCCACCACTCGTCGACAGAAATACACATTAGTGCGAGCCAGTATGACAAGATAAGCAGAGCACGGGGCTCCTTCGCAGCAAGCAGATGCACGAAATCCGGTAGCAGCCGACCCATGAAGTTGGTTATGCGAGACGCTCCGCATTTATGCCGTGGGATGCGCAGCAAGGGGCACAGCATACGAAGAGGCCAATGGAAGGGGTTTGTCTCTTCCGTCGTGGTCTCGGTAATATCGCACAGATCGGCCAGATCGGGATCGAGATCTTCACGACCCATTCGATGATCATCAGCGTATTCGTAGTTGCTTGTTTCCTGGAACGGTTCATTCCAGATGCTCTCTTCCATCCATGGCTTGGTGATCTCAAGGAGACAGCGTAAACCACCTTGGACGGAGAGCCAATTCATGTTGGCCGGATCATCTGAAAAAACCCAGGAGTCCAGCGGGGTTGTCGTCTCAGCTGAGAAGGAGAACATTGCAATCAACATGCAGCTTGTGATTAGCGTGTCCATGTTATTTCGGTCGATTGGTAACTGGAGTTGTTGTCGATATACTCGGGTGGCTTTGTGTCTCAAACGAGTGGCTATTAGGGTATGCGTTGGGTCCGAGGGCAGAGCACAAGCCCAGTGTGTGCTTGCCACTGCCATTATGGAATACAAAAGACACGGTTCCTTCACAACCGTCAGTTTTTGTCTACTGTTAATTGTAAAAACTGATTTAGACATACCCCAAGAGCTACCGGGATAGTACGCTCCCGCATGACCTTCTTAATAGGGGTAAACGCAGGCGAGTGCACTGATACCATCTGAGAAAAGTGTGCTAGCATGGCCAGGCCAAACGATCCAAGAGAGTCGCATGGACCACACGAGTGCAGTCTCTCGCTGCTTATGTCAGACCATAAGATATGATCGAGGCTAGCCGTCATTGCGCCGAATGCCAACGAGCCATTGCAAACGAGCGAAGTGCCACAGGTTGACAAAGCCATGGTGATTCTTTTATGTGCCTCATTGCCCGGAAGTGCAAAATCACAGACGGAGCCGTGCATGCGGCACCTCCGGCATTGTGGCTTTGCTTCATCACACTTTTGATAAGGTCAGTTACATTAGCCTGTGGGGCGGTTGGATTGGGGTTTTTACTTTGACCTTTCGACGCTTACAACTCAGACAGCCAGTCCTCGATTTTCGGTGCGCGCGTCGAGCCCTGTACACTGGCCGTGTTGAGTTTGAGACTGCCGGGAGCAATCTATTGGCCCCGTCTATATGTAATGAACTGCCAGCTAGTTGATACCTAGGCCGAACTCTGAATGCTGACAGATAGTTGCTATTGCGCCAGTCATTATTGCCACTTTCCATCGTTTCAACCTGTGTGAGACTTGTCGGTTGGGACTCCACAGACCACAATGAACCGTTAGATACCATCATTGATTTAATGAGCGCTGCGAAGGAGAAAAACGACGAACACAGCGATGAAGGTGCGAACACGAGGCTCATCGAACAACTTTATACTCGATCAACGCTGCGAAATCAAGCTAAGCCCGGACAGGCAAACCTGCCAAGGCTCGTATTCTGCCGTCCAATCAACATCTTGACCTCCACCTTAAAGGGTTCAACACGAGTTTTAGAGGCTATGCTTGACTAGGCACCGATTATTCGGATCCAATTCTATAAATAAAGGAAGGTGTTTGAGCTGCACTGGCTATCATGGACCCTCCTCGACGCTAGATGGCGTCCAACAAACGGGATACCGGCTGGAATACTCCAGCTTAATATTAATCGGTATAACGCCTGACCAGAGTATATTTGTGTAGTGAAAAGCGGATTTCTCTAGAACTTGCGATAAAGTCGGTGTACACCCTGGGCGTGAAGGTATGCCTCTCTTTTACATTCGATATGTGTAGTAGTTGGCATGGCAATCGGGCGATGAGTGAATATGTGGATAGATTTCTGAGCTTTCAATTATTTTGCGACGGGCCAGTTACGCAATGCGCGGTATGTAGTGCCAACCCATGCGATTTGGAAGATAAGCATATATTGACCCATACTTGTCAAAGCTCCAGAAGGGACGCGGATTACTCTGTCCTCGGGGCCTTGTAAGCGAAAAGGCAGTCGAGTGCAGTATCTAATATAGAGTCGTCTCGAGCTTAGTTATTTTCCTTATTATACTCCCCATTCCAAAGAGGCCCCATCAAGCTTGCCTTCTCATCCTCATTTGAGGTATTCGCCTTTAGGATGCATGTAAGGGTCTCTCTCTTCCAGAGCTACTTATCCACAACGAAATCTCCATTTATCTCTTTCATCACAGTGAGGTGGTGTGATAACGCGAATCGTTCACTACCGCCACATGAAAAATACTGCTTTTCATCTTGGTTGACGCTTTCATCGTTGATCTCATACGTCGCAAGAATTCGGGAGAATTCTTTGAACTCCTCTCGATCTTGAAGTTGACCAATATAAAGCTTGGCATTTTGCCCAGTACATGAACGCACAAAATTCGGAAAAGTAAACATAATCCTGGAGGCCGTCTAGATTAACTAGACGAGATAATGCCCAGAAGATATTTCCGTCCGAGAAATGCACATCTTTCTCCCCATTAAAGCCGTTAGCAGCAACGAAACCCTCAATAAAACCCTTCATAAGGCATGGCTGAATGCGATCACGGGGATGGGGCAGTCCAGGGCAGACCAGAAGCATAGATGGTGGAACGGAAGAGGCAAAGGCCCAGTCAATAATGCATGTTATGTTCAGTTCGTCATCGACAAAGATATTTTGGAAGCTGAGATCCGGGTGGCACAACGGAAACCCGTCGCATTTGATGTGGCTGTCTTTTTCCGTCAAAAAGAGTCCTATAGGCGCGGAAGTTCATTCGAAGATTTTGGAGCTATCTATAAACTGGAAAAATATCCATTGTATAGCACCATCCACTAGTCCAATGCATGTCGCTTGAGCGTCAAACAGGATTTCTCTGCCCTCGGGGAAAGGGTATATAAACGGGTTTATTTATACCTTTGTGAGAAATGCCACGTCGTAGGCAGCAACCAGGCACACCGCCCAATCTATTGTTTGTTTATACATACCAAGTTTTACCCTCATACTAATTGCTATAGAATTGGACAGTGAAAGGAGATGGAGCACAGTGATTCAGGACATTTAATGCACAAGCCTCCATGTAGTCAATCCCGTAGGCTATTCAGCATGTTAACTTTATTTCTAGGTCTAGGGTTTGGTGGCAAAGGCGGTCGTGGAGCTCTCCACTTTCTAGACAGCCGACCACTCTAAGCTACAACTTCGATTTACCAAAGGAACCTAAATGATTTCTTTCGGGAGGGTCACTTGCCGAATGCCCCACAAGCACGACGTTTCCCTAAGTGTAGACGGGTCAAACAATTTCCACGAGCAACACGCAGCTGGGATGGGCAGCTGAAGGAGTGCTCTGCCTCAGTAAATCGTCACTGTTATAAAAAATGGAATCACTCAATAACTCGCAATTCTCAAGCTACGGTCAAGATGCTTAGCTACTAAGAAAATTTACTGCTTTTACAATACCACTGTAAGTTTGAGTGGTGGAGCTAATAGAATGGTTCTAGAAATGGACTAAATATCGGCACGAGATTGAGTTTTTCAAGTGGGCTCAGCTTACCCGTACCGAGTGCACAGGCCACTCACGGCTTGCCGGTCGTGCATGTGAGCCTGAGAAAATCCATCCATGGGCTGTCCAATCTTCCGACTCACGGCGCACCAATCGGGATTTCGGGATATTGATCACGTCAGTAGTAACAGTAAACAAGGTACTTGGTGTGTTCCGGGTGGCCGACTACATGAAACCTTCACAAGCGTTATAATAGGAACCAGCTAGGGTTAGATTGGTCACTTTGGGTAAAATATATATTGCGGGAAACTATTAGGTGTGCTATTGATGAGCTCGCAAGCAAAAAAGACACAATTGAAAAAAACAAAAACAAAAACAGTAAGAGAAGGAGAGCCTGGCTTCGGAGTCTCTCCGATCGTAAAAATTCGAACGCTTCCTTTGCTGCCCCCAGGGCCTTGGGACCTACTCGCTCCACAACCAGAATAAAATCTGTAGAGGGTCTACCGCTGGTTTTCCCCGCACTGGGGAGAGAAACTACTGCGAGGGATATGTGAGACTCCTGCCTTATTCCAGTCCGCCGGTACTTACAGACTAGCTGAGGGATAATCAAACCATGTTCAAAAAGCTGTGCTTGATGTCACGACGTTTTGTGGGTCCAATCCTAGAAACCGAAGGAGGTCCCAGGGCAAGAAGGTGGTATGTGATAATTCGTTTTAGCCAAATGCGATGTAGTATTCCTGCCTGTTAGTCAGTGCATCGGGCAAAGCTACATGCATTGATGACTTGATGTTGACTCGATAAAATAGTGGCAGTTGTAAGCCAATGCGATCAGAACACAAAGCGAAGGAACCCGCTGGTCGTCAGGTCCTCCTGGTCTCGACTTCCAGCAGGACCAGGAACCAATGTCTCTGGAGTAAAATTCTGACGAAGTTGGCAGCTTCGTGGGTAACACGGGAACTTGCTTGTCCATTGAGCGGTCCAGAAAATGTGTGCTCTAGCGATCACGTCCCTTTTCTAGGGAGAAGGGGTGGCAAATGAAATAGGACTAAACTATCTCACATTTCAGAGTAGATAGCACGTTCGCAATAGTCGGTGTAAATGAATAATAGGCAATCACGGCATTGGCCGCAAATCTGGTTAATACTAATTAATAGGAACAGGCTGGTCAATCCGTAGTTCTATTTCCTTGTTTCGCAAAGACCTTCCAAAGTCTGACTGAAGTCTGGGTTGCGATAAAACTTTGTATGCTCCGTCTAGTATACCCACTTTTTTATTAAGCTGTTGAAAATTCAGAATTTTAAAAGGCCTCTGTGCTCGCCCCCTTAATTGTAGTTCAGTAAAAGTAAGGATTTATTTTCTCTCTAAACAGACTATGACTAAATTCGACTTCGGCTTTCGAAGCCGTAGCCAGGATGGTGAGGGCGAGGGCTGGTTTGGCAAAGTTCCGCAGTTCACTATTATCTCCCGCCCGGGGTCGTCGTTAGGGCACAGCACCCCTTCGTCCGGACTGGCAACCCCGACCGAAGAAAAGGGCCTGACGAGCTTGCAATCCTGCCCAGACATTGGTCGACTGGCCTCCTGGAGAGGAGCCTTGATCTTGCTGGTGACTTCCGGCTCCCAGTTTCTTGATAATGTTTTCATGACTAGTTCGAACATCGCGCTTTCCTCTATCCAAGAAGAGTTCGGAGTCTCCAATACCCAGTTACAATGGATGATATCTGCATACACCTTGACCTTTGGCGGGTTCTTGCTACTAGCAGGCGTGCTGTCCGATCGGTAAGGCTCATTCTTAGCAGTGCGAGGAAGTTATTTCTAATTTCTAATGCGTGACAGATATGGGAGAAAAATGATCCTCTGCCTTGGGCTGTTCTGGCTCTCCGTCTGGACACTCGCGATCGGATTTGGCCAATCGTTTATCCAGCTTGCTGTCTTCCGTGGTATCCAGGGAATAGGTGCTGCGTTGACTGTTCCATCGGCGATTGGAATCATCAGTTCCTACTTCACCGGTGTTGACCGTACTCGGGCATTATCTATCTACGCAGCATCAGGAACACTGGGATTCTGTGTCGGCCTCATCTTCGGTGGTTTCCTGACCTCGTCACTAGGCTGGCGATACATTTTCTATTTAATCGTTACCATCACAGGTTCTCTGGGCGTTCTGGGCGCTATCGTCCTTCCCAAAGACGAACTAGCGGGAAGGAAAAGCCGAAGATGGATTACTTTGGAGCGTTGCTATCTACAGCCGGCCTAATCCTACTCCAATTTGTGCTTTCGAGTGGAGGCGATTACGGCTGGAGCACCCCATTCATCATCGTTCTTCTTATCCTCGCGGTCGCCCTTCTGGTCGCGTTCACTTTCCTCGAATGGTACATCTCCTACCCGATCATGCCCTTAGATCTATGGAAAATCCCCAATTTCGCAGGACTTTGGATCGCAGGGTTTAGTAAGTTTCCTCCAAGGCCATCCACCTCGATCATGACTAACAGGGATGAAGCCTGCTACGGCAGCTACCAAAATGTCATCTACTACATTGTCCTGATGGCGCAACAGGTCGACAATCTGTCCGCCGGCGACACAGCCCTCCGCTTCTTGCCTATGGGCGCGATCGGGTTCATCGCCTCGATGGGAACAGGGAAGGCCCTCGAATACGTGAACGGGAAATACACCCTTATCGCCGGGCTGGTCCTGACGGTGTTAGCCCCCGTCCCCAGCGCATTGACCGCAACGAACTCAGAGCCAGACTTGTATGTATCCCCCGATCTCGCACCATGACGCTTGCAAACCGCTAACAATAACAGCTGGGTCAACGTTCTCCCCACATCCCTTATTAGTATCACAGCAGTATCGCTCATCTTCGTGACAACGAGTACCACGATCCTAACCACTGTTCCTGTCAGCGTCAAGAGTTTATGTGGTGGAATGGTAAGCTCCCCAAAGCCCATCTCTGTGTCTGACAATCATACTAACCCATGTGCCAGCTGAACACAGCCTTCCAAATCGGCTCCGGCGTAGCCCTCGCCATCTCGGCCGCGGTCACAGAAGCAGTCGACATCAAAAAGGGTCACAGCCTTGCCCAGCAGTATGCCACCGGCCTCTGGTGTTCTGCCGGACTAGCAGGACTAGGTCTCCTCATTGCCATGATTTCCGTTCGTAGACGAGGCATTGGACCTGGCGATAGGAACGATACGCCAGTTGCGATTTAATTTTTTTCTCTCTAACGACATAGATATAGACTATTGGTTGGGTTTTTACGCCTTTTCAATCTCATTAACGACGGCATTATGACGGAAAAGTTCTGCATGCTTTTTACACTACTTTCACATGAATTTTGGGTACAACAGGCTATAAAGTGGCGAGATAGACACGGTTATGGTGTTTTTTAGGGTTAATTGTTTAGAAAAAATCAGTTGTTTTGATCCACTTGGCCCGTGTGAAATTTTGCTTCGGAGCTCCGATGCATGGGGTCCACCTGGCGGGGTTGCATGCCTTCCGAGAAGAGGCATGGGGAATTATACTCCTGTTAATCTTTCTCATCTACTGATTTATTTGATTTTTGTTTTCAGACGATAAAGCACAGGAAGGGACGAGTTTTGCATATTGTTCCGTTCTTCGTACACCCGACTGTCTAGTGGGGTCGATATTGAGGTTTATGACTCAAATTAGTCTAAGATGGCAGCGACTCTGGGGGTTTCATTGTCCGAACGAGATGGTAACTAGTTTATGCCTTTCAAACGGAAAGAGCTATTACAAAGTAGGTTGTGAGTGCAAGCAGGTATACTGGTACTTATTTTTGTTAATAACCGTAGAGCAAAAGCACACAATAAATGGCACACATATCCAAACCTCCTCGAGCCCCATATGGGATACATTATATTCCACCATGCGCAAAATAGCCATCCCTGTGATATGTATCAACTGATGAGGACAAGCACCGCTGTCCAACTCATGGTCACATTGTAAGCGTCTCATTGAACGCAGCATTCCCTCCCGAACCACCCTTTCCACCTGACGCCTGAGAAGGGTTGATCATCCCCAAGCGCACTGCCCAATCATCTCTCCCCGTCTCTTTGATCAAGGCCTCTGCAAGATCTAGTCTTCTGCGGTATTTTCTTCGTGGACCATCAACACTGATCAGGTTCCCATGCATTTGGAGCCCTTGTGTTAACATATTCACCAGTCCTAGCAGACCGGCCGTTCCAACCAAGAGCAACAGCAGCAGAACTTGCCCAGACAACTTCGCATTGCTCGCTAAGGCAACATTCAGGTAAACCAATAAGGTAGTGAAGCCGGATATGGCGCTTTCAACCCAAGTCATATCACGGAGCCATTCTCCGGACGTCACTGCTTTGAGGTCATCCACGTAGCCCGTGATGCGGACCCAGCGGTCCTGACTCAGAAGAACCAGGAGATCTCCGACCACGCCCGGCTCGGAGGCTCCGCTCCAGCCGGCGCGACTACGAGACTGAATTAAGAGCATATTGATGAATCGGGTAAGCATTAAGATGGCGATCACTAGGAGGCCCCACCAGTCCTCAGTGATGATGAGAAGGGATGTGACCACGGCTGTGCTGCCCACCGCGAGGAGGTATGCGGTGATGGCTCCAAATGACATGGAACTGTCTATAGAGGATAGAAAGCGAGAGAGCAACCCTTGCTTAGAATTGTGGATGTTGGTCACGGAAAGTGTAGTCAGCTGGCCCGTGCGACCAACCCTCTGCAGGAAATTGACTGTTGCTGGGTTCTCGACCCGAAACACATAGCCAGTCGTCATCGCAGCTACGGCCGGGTACTCTCCGCCGTGAACATCAGCGGCAACCTGCTGGCGATGCAGTCCGGAACAGAGGACAAACGTATCCAGGAATGTGGCGCCGCCTGTGAGGGCGGTCCGCTGCCCGATGATCGGCAGATCTGCCAGGAAAATGATGCCGGCTAAGTTAAGGGACATTGTCGGAAAGTCAGATGTAAACATCAGGGGGTTAACAGCCTTTAGAATCAACTAGGGAGTAGTATTGACATATATGCGAGAAGAGACCAGGAACTACGGAGGTGTTCGCTCCTTGGGTGACAAGTCATCATGCAGGATCCCGAAAATCCTTATGACGTGGCGCAGGATTTCAACCTTAAGGCGAGGCACATTGGAGATAGTACGTCCAACGAGTATGAAAGTCCGACTACTTGGGGTTACGCGCAGGTTGAAATCGTATATACAAAGATAGTAGATACTCACTGAGCATCTTACGAGCACACACTGACCTTAACTACTACTGCAGTGTATCACATTACTAAGCTTTTACTAAGCCTGAGAGAATTCAAGAATTAAACTCTTCAAGTGATCAAGTTGTTTAGGTAGTAGATGATATATGTCTGTATAGAGTTCGTATGGTCCACTAGGTGGTAGCAGAGATTTGATGGAAGAATTATGGCATTTTCACTGAGAACATAGAATGTGCTAAAGGTCTCGCCCAGAATCAACTGCTTCAGCAGCCTGTAGTGCAATTGCAAACCGTGACTTCAGGTCTTCCGCATCCTCGACACCAACACTAATGCGAAGAAGATCCGCTGGCACACCGAAGCCTGCGGCCCAATCCAACTCGCCATAATGTGCGAGGAGAACATAGGGTGAAGTTAAGGTGAAGTTTGTACCGAGACTAGGTCCTTTGGCAGTCTCAATACGGTCGAAGAACGCAACCGCCTGAGCCTTCTTGTGGAAAGTAAAAGATAGCAAGCCACCATACCCGCCGGTTGGTGTCCGACATTCGTCATAAAACTTCTTTGTTGGGCTATACTTGGGGTAGTATACGTCTTTGACAAGAGGATGTGCCTGAAGCAGGCTGCAAATGGTTTCGGCGTTGTCGTTGATTTTCTTAATACGAGTCTCAAAGTCACGGCTATTGCGCTCCATAAACATAACGTCCTCAGCCCAGTAGTTGTCCTCGTAATTTGATGCGAAAGCACTCTTCAACTGCTGATAATACCTTCCTTCGGGGTTTAAAATAGCGCTGCCGCCCATAACATTACAGTCTCCCGAAAAAATCTTGGTCAGACTGCTGACAACCACGTCTGCATATGGAAGGACATGAACGTTGATGGAGTTTGCAATCGTCTCGTCAACAACCACGCCAAAGTCATAGGTGTCCGCCAACTTCTTAATTCGTTTTAGATCGGGACATTTTAACATAGGATTTCCGGGGAATTCGCAGAACAAGGCCAAATATCGTTCGCCAGCCTTCAGGCGCGCTTCCAAGTCGTCCAGATCTTCTGAGGAGCCATTGCCGTAGAAAAGACACCCGGGGCCGAACTTTTGCAGAACTTTAAGAGTGTCAATGTAGGGGAAGCCAAACGAGATGCTTTTCAGTTGACCTCTAGACTGTAGCAGCATTCGGTGAGTGCTGAAAATGGCATTCATGCCACATGGATAGAGGTAAACGTCGTCGTCGGAAAGTCCCGTCACTCCACGTGAGTCGGAGGTTATATTGGGACTTGGTTCGACTGAAAGATCCGCTTCGCCTACCAAAGAGCCAGCTATGCGTCGACGGAGTGCTAACTTGGCGTTGTCGACAAGTGAGATATCCAAATTTCGGCCAAAACGCTCCTCGAGGAACTGTGCGCTTTCCACTCGCTCTTCTGAGACCGCCTTGTTTTCTGTTTGGGACGTTGTATATCTCGATACACTTTGGTATCTCCTTGGGCCTCTTTTCTGATTTATGGTTGGCTGCAGCGATGTGGAGTCCGCCAGCTTGCCATCCAAGAAAAGCGAATGGCAAAATTCGGCATATCTGCTTGAGATACCATCACCAGAGTGTTGCCAGTATTGCTTCGCTATTGGGAAGAGATCTTTACGGAAGATGACCGCTGATATTGAGGGCGAGAGCTTCGCAGTTATCGCTGAAACCTCTTTTCCCTTGTCGAGAAACAGATCAATTATGTTGATCTCTCCTGCGCAACCGAGCTCTGCTGTTGCTTGCATGAAATTACGACATCTGTGGGCAGCCTTGTGGGATGGAAACAGCATGGCGCTTTGGTTTGGGGTTCCATACTTGGCAATAATATCATTCGCGAGTCCTGCGATGTTACTGTGGATCAAGAATCTGGTGACGGGATCAGTGGATGAGTGATCGAGGCCTGGAGTTCAGGGGAAGTACCGTGGATAACCATTTGGTAATTTATCCATGACCCGCTTATCACCCTCTTCATAACCCACGTTGTCAGCCCAAGTGGGCAGAGACATGCTCACGGCCTGTGGAAGGCGTTAGTTTGGTTCACTTCACAGCCCTGCATTCCGAACCCGCAGAGGCCAAGATAAACACATAATTTACATGCGGTGTTAGCGAGGGGATTGAGTCTCCAAGCTCTATAACTGCCATCTTGAAATACGTAATGCAACGAGCTGAATTTCGTTGCGAAAGAATGTTAATCGGAGTTTTTTGTACCGGAGATGGTGAATGGGCCTTTGATGGCGGGGTGCGTCAGGCAAAATACCGCTTATCTCCAGGTTCGGCCTAGAATATATACGTTCCGTGGAGGCCGAGGTGTTCCTCGGGTTCAGGGTGCCGAAAATCTGGCCCGGTATCCGATCTGACTAGATGGAGAGGGCAATCAGTTTTACACTAGCAGATGTGTAGGGTTACCAAGGATACCTCTAAATCCTTTTTTCCTAGAAGTTTCTGGTACGTACAGTTCTCCCTCTTGCCTCCTGGGACTGTTGATTGGGGTTTGAAGTTGAAATACACAGGCTGACTGCCGCGGATCTTTATCCGCGGATTTTGCTTCCCCGGGGATCCGTGGCGGACCTTGCCCTGAAAGACCGCGGAAACCGTTGTCCCAAATAACTTTTCTGGTTCATTGTGACTTATCCATGGCCACTGGGTTCTAGTAGGCCGTTGGTCTGTCTTGAAAAAAAAAATATGAAGTAAATTATTCTCAAATCTGGGGTAGCTGGCCACTCATGCGAAGTTCCGACCCTCATTCCTTCCGTCATGGGTTGTTCATCCAGCTCCCGACCAGATACGGCAGACTAAATCGAAGTTCCAGACAATATAAAATATTCACACAAAATTCTATGAACCAATTAAATTTATGTATATCGATCCACTATGCTGACCATCCAATTATACTGTTTTATACATAAGATAAAGTTCTGCATTATCCATCGAGTAGGTAGTCCCACTGCATTACCGCCTTAAATAGTGGACCACCAGCATCCCGTCTTTAGGGACCACCTGTACCCGATACTTAGGAACCACCTGCACCCTATCTTAGAACCCACAATACTAGATCTTTAGATCCCCTGGGGCCCTAGTATATTACGAGTATGCAGGGAATAGTAATAATACTTAGGGGTGATAAGACACTCTTTTTAGGAGCCTATGGTAAATAGATTTAGAAGTGGGCGATAGTCGTGGCTTTATGTAAAATGCTCAGATTTCGGACAGTAATCTCCTGTCCGGAACTCCGACTTGTCCGCCGTAGTTACTTATAGTGTTGGACCTGAAACCCAAACCTATAAGCCCATAGCCGGCGAACCCGACCAATTGTAGGAGGATAACTTCAAGAGACACTGTCGTGGGTGATTTAAATATTGTCCTGTTTATAGTTTATTGGCACATCCTGTGTATTCAATAGCATTGAAATATATTTAATTTGCATATTGATACAACTGAAAACGTACGTCTGCAAATTTACACATTACAGTATAAGGTTGAAGTTATCATATTTATAGGGTTACCTTCGGACGTTGACGTCACCCCCAAACCTTGTCCCGCGATGTATTTAATTATTTAAATGGTGGCTTTGATATCCCGCACCCAACTACAAACTGTTCCAATATATTCAAGAAACTGACTCGGAGTTGAAACACACACTACTTTCTACTGTCGAACCTCCTCAGGATGACGTGGCAACCGCCCACTATCGGTGATCGCTATATAGCAGTGCTTGGTGCCGGGGTGCTCGGTACGATTGTGACTTCTCACCTATACAAAGATTGTCTTCGGCACTAATGTATCTGTCAAGGTCGTCGAATTGCTTGCACCTGGGTTGCAGCAGGCTACAATGTAACCATCAGAGATCCGAGTCCAGATCAGCGGAATGCTGCCGTTCATTTCATTGACAACAACGTTGCCACTTTTGCTAAGACCCTTGGCGACGAGGCAGTCCCGGGAAAATATTCTGCATTTGCAGATTTGGATTCTGCCGTGAAGGATGCCTGGTTCGTGATCGAGGCTATCCCAGAGAAGCTTGATCTAAAGATCGCCACGTTTGGTGACCTTGCGAAGAAAGCACCAAGGGATTGCATTTTCGGGTCGAACTCATCATCCTACAAGTCACGGCTGATGCTCGATGAAATGGATGATGAGGCAAAACGACGCACCCTGAATGTCCACTATACCATGCCCCCGGGAAATAGGGTCGTAGAGCTGATGACTAGCACCCATACTTACGATGGCATTTTCCCTTTCCTTGTTGATAAGCACCGGGAGGTTGGGCTGGTGCCGGCCGTCGCACGCAAGGAATCTACTGGGTAAGCTTGTCACTTTCTATCCGGTCTTCAGTGCCTGGAATGACGGCTAACCTACAGGTAGTTTCATCATCAACCGCCTATGGGCAGCTGTGAAGAGAGAGACTCTGACAATCTTGGCAGAAGAAGTTAGCGATCCGGAGCAGATCGACAATTTATGGGTAAACCCTCTCAACGTCCGTCTAATGATGGAAGATTCTAACTCGGTGGCAAAATAGATGGAAATGTTTGGCGCCACGGCAGGGCCCTGTAGCATGATGGATTCCGTCGGCCTCGACACAGTAGCTTTTATTGAGGATAACTATATTCAGGAACGCCACCTGGACGGTGCAAATACGGTAGACTGGCTGCGCAAGAACTACGTCAATCAAGGTCGATTAGGCGCCAAGTCTGGAAATGGAGGGCTTTATCCAGCTGGCTTCACGACGAAATCGGCGACTGAGAATGCCAGCCATCACGACAATTTGGCCGCCCCAACGCTCTATGTCCTTGATATAGGACTGGGTGAAAATATTACCGATAATTTCCTCACATCCGGGTCAATATACACTGCCTCGGCCAATGGTCAGAATGTGAAGAAGATAGTCGATGGCCTTAGTGCGCCTGACGGGGTCGATATTAGTGTCAGTCGTGGTCGTATATTCTGGACAAATATGGGGATACCCTCTGAGAACGATGGATCTGTCCAGTCATGCAACCTAGATGGTTCTGATATCAGGACAGTCGTTCCACCTGGAACCGTACACACGCCAAAACAACTGTGCATTGACCATACACACGAGAAATTGTACTTTTCGGATCGCGAAGGGATGAGGGTTCATAGAGTCGATTTCAATGGTGGCCAGCATGAGATCCTCATCCACACTGGTGATTATCATGATCCCTCGCATAAATATGACCAGAGCAGATGGGTAGGATACCTTTAGTGTGTACAGTGGGGCCATGGCTAACAGACTTTTACAATTTCAGTGTGTGGGAATCGCTATTGACTCAAAACGCGGCAAGTTCTACTGGACTCAGAAGGGTTCTAGCAAGTCGGGTCAAGGAAAGATCCTTCGGGCAAATATTACTTTGCCTGCAGATTCAAAGCCCTCCACGCGCACAGATATCGAAACTCTCTTCGAAAACCTGCCCGAACCGATCGACTTGGAGGTTGACTCGGAAAATGAATTCCTATATTGGACTGACAGAGGTGAATATCCACTTGGCAATTCAGTTAATCGAGGCTACGTTGGATCCAAGCCTAGGGACCCTAGTGCAGCCAAATTCACGATATTAACGAGGCACTTGCATGAGGTATATTCTCCCCCTTGGTGGTCCGAAATGTCACTAATATGCTTTACTCACAGGCGATCGGTCTACGCTTGGACAAGGTAAACAAACACATTTATTTCACCGACCTGGGAGGGTCATTGTACCGCACAGATCTCGAAGGTGGAAACAAAACGGTTATTTACAGCGGCAGAGCTGCTCTTACAGGACTTGCCTTGACACATATCAATTAAATTACCGCTTGTGGGAGAAGTATAGGTATGATCGGATTCATCGATGTTCTTCCTTCATTGCTTAGTTAAGTTGATTCACTATTTCTTTGTTCCTTTGGTTGGATTGGGTTATTTCGATCCTGAGACGAACTACTCTTTATTGTGTTCTGTTTCCTGGCCGCTGTGTCATGTTCATATTCTGATATTCTTTTGCCGGCATATTTCAATTTAAGTGGATGAGTTGGTATAATCGAGTGGATGAACCTCAAATAACTTGCCTTTCCACTCTCTATCTTATACATAGGACAAAGTTTAATTTCATGCTTCGATGAGAGACACTCTTGTCGGTCCTCTACAGCCTATGCACAATGAGGGCTTACAGTTCGGCATGGTCAGATATCCAAGTGCCAAAATCGTCGATTTGCATGGAATACAGAGCTGCGTAGCTCGCTTACCGATTACGTTAGTTATCCAAATTTCAATACTCAGATATTCCTATTATGACGTTACCTTCAAGATTCGGGTGATGGAATCTGCTTTTTTCTGCCCTTAATCTAATAAATCTATTAATGTAAAACTTACGGGCTGGGCTGTAATATAGGCCTATCTAGTTTGAGTATCTCGAACTGAAGGGTGAATGAACACATCCCTTCTGCTTGCTCGATTATCATTTCTAAATATGTAGAGTTTGCCCTCACCATAGTACTCGCGAAACAAACGAGTAGAAGGCATACTCGTTATAGTATGGCTGAAGAATGTCCAGCAGGTAGTCTCCCCAGTCGTTCTGCCATCTCCACACCTGCAAAGACTTCGCGAATTCCCAGTACTCAGGATATCATCCACTAAGCTCCCAGTCAATAATTGCTGCGACATTACCATCCTTTATCATGATGTTCGGCGGCCTTAGGTCACCATGCGCAAACGCAACATGGCGCTCCTTATGAGCAATCATTCCGAAAAGGAACTTTTGGATATGTTGCCGCGGTACAGTCAGATGATATGCTTCCACGATTGCTTCATTGAACTCCTTCTCGGAATCAAACGGGCCTTACACAAGTAAATTAGTAGAAGACGTATAACTACCACGGGGTCAATTACCTTAGACTTTACAGGTTGCGAAGATCAGATCCGTAACTGGGCTATGATCGGCTGACCCAATATATGTCATTCTTCCCATGGTACGAAGGTCATCAATGTATGTCTTTAGCTGTGAAGCAATACGTGTCTTCGTTAGATAATCTAAGTCATTCCACGCAATGTCTAGAGGCTGCCCATCCACAAAGCTCATGAAGATGTATGTATCGTTACTCCAGTCCATGGCACTATTTTATTCTCACCGTTACATTGCTTTTTGACATGATCCAGATCTGGGATTAGAAAGTTGGAAGCACAGAAATATGTGCGCAATTTGGGGGTCGGATCAGAAACGACTTCGCCTGCTTGGCTATCCATTATGATGGGTCAGAACAGGAATAAACAGATGGTATGTCACAGGTGATTAAGAATGCTTAGAGATAGTAGTGAGCGAGAGTGAGATGGATGACTGCCTTTGGATAAGAATATAAGATGGATCGGTGTTACCAGATGGTTTTCACTGCTGAAACCATTTATAATCAGGCTGACTGAGCCGCATTGGCTACGACGACCTATTGCAGCCACTCCGCAACAACAGGTTTTATCAATTTCTGGCGGCAGACCTGATAAATGAAGTCCAAAAGAATATCTACTCTAAGAATTTCGAATAGCTGTGCTCCTCTGTACAAGACTTAGAAACTGAAGAATAATCAACACTATACGAACTATAGGGACTTAGATGGAAGAGCTGTTCAGCTGCCGCCTTTTGGTTACCCCTGCTTTGTCCCCAAGGATAAAAGTTGTCACTATACTCTCGAACTTTCCGGGGGAGGTTTTGCTTTACGGGCTTTGAATAAGCGTACAACTCCCTATATAGAGATTAATCGGTTGAAGTATATAAGAGCTTAACGCTTACGGTTGATCGGCACCGCGGCGAACGGCATAAATCTCGTGCGGAAATTCGTGGTTAAGGGTACCAGCAAAATCCCGTGTCTCCAGGTCGATGAGTATATGGACCCTGGCATTCGGCTGGGAAACGTCATTCGGTGGTTGATAGCGGATGAAATGGCGAGTCGAGTTCGACGCTGCATCGGAGGGGAATTCCTCACAATAGAAGTCAACAAATTCACGAGGATTCAGGTAATCCATATCATCTTCTAGCAGACGGAGAATCACACGCTTTGCTTTACCCATCTTTAAGATCTCTTTATCGCAGTGTGACGGGGTATGAGAGATAGGGAAGGGGGTGTTTGAGGGTCCCGAGTCGCTCAAGATCATTTTAGCCCCGGTTTATTCTTGGTTAAATACTTGGCTAGTCCGGCGTAGCACGCACCTCCCAGACCAAATAGCGGGGGATTGGGAGGGCATATATCAACCCACCTACACTAGAGGCCTGCACATTTGACAGTTGACCCACTGGGACTGCTGCAACGAACCAGTCCTGCGACCTGCCCCGCCTGGACACAGAAGAGACACCTCTCAACCAAATTACGTACTGTCGGATATTGTGGCACAATCAAGCTGGATGGCAGTTGTAAAAGTAGTGCTAATGCAGAAAAGGCTACATAAATCATCATGAATATCGGTATACAAAGGCCTAAATGGTACTTGAAATCGGCATTTCAAACACACGAATGCCTAGGGTTAGTCCTACAGCTTTGCCTTTTCCTGGGCATGCAACTCGCGCCTGGCAGGCCCTCCACGGCTTCCATCTCCCTGGAAAGTATCCTTGTCGTCTTTGTACTCTGTTCGGAAACGCCACTTCTGCGCCAGATGTTCTGGGAGACGCTTCGTGAACGCAAGGAAAGTGTAGTCGCCTAACACAGGTAGGAATTTGAATGCGCTGAGTGAGATGTGTTAGCATCCGTTAGCATACCAAATAAGAATATAACTTACTGCCCACTACCGCCACCAGCGACGAAAAGATTCTTGTAATCGGGATGAGAATCCATAATGAAATCACCCGAAGGCGTGTCAGTATACCAGCAGAGCGCCACCCGATCAAACGGACGATCGGCTAATTCTGGGAGAATCTCACGCAGACCGGTCCTGAGCCGGTCTTCTCCATCAGGGGGAGTAAAATTGGCGCGTTGACGAGGAGGGATCAGAGGAGGCGACGAGATATTAGCCTTGACACTCTGATGATCCTCGGCGGTAGGCGCACGTGTGTAGCCCCATCCATGCACGGCCATTTTGAGGGTCTTGGTATCTTCATGCGAAGGGAAGTTGAACCAACCCGTATTGAAGTTGGCATAAATGGGAACATCTTTGTACTTCTTCACTTCAGCATCTGTAAGGGGCGTGTACCCAATTACCTGGGCTGTTGCCAGGGTTGAGTTATACATATCGACTAATCCGGAGGTCCAGGCACCAGCAGCAAGTATAAAGTGATCACCCTCAATTGAAGTTCCCGCAAGAGTCTTGACAGCCCTAACCCTCTTCTGTGAGTCTGTATCGAGACTGATAACTGTACCAGCACGACCGCAAATAAAAGACACACCAAGTTCAAGACAATCGTCGCGAAGCTGGCTGACAGCCTTACTGGCGTCTGCCCAACCGGCCTGCTCATTTAAGTAGCCGGTGAAATTGGGCGTCGCGAGAGTCCCCGTTAGAACAGGGTATCTACTCTTCGCGGCCGCAGCACTATCCAGCTTTGCCCAGGGCAGCTGTTTCTTGGTTAGCGCAGCAGTCGTCTTTTCAATCCAGGCCCGCCCGTGTGCGCTGGTGTTACCAGTGAGAATGTAGGGTGATTTGAAGAATATCCCTTTGTATTTTGGCAATTGGGACCATTTGAGGTATGCTTCGTATGCAATGTTCAGATAGTCCTCATCGGCGTAATCGAAGCGGATAACACGGGAGATATCCGAGCTGGAGCCATCCGGAACCTGATATTGTTAATCTTGCTTTATTCACCCAAAGAAAAGAAAACTTTACAGGTGGCATGTGGCGGTCAACAACTGTAACATGTTTGTAGCCCTCCGACGCAAGCTTGGCGGCGGTAGACAGGCCGAAAATGCCTGCCCCAACGATGACGATTTTACTGTTCTTATCCATCACGTCAATTCAACGTGTTCAGTACGAACTTTCTCTCCAGAATAAGAGAAGATAGAGGGACACAAGAAGATGGGGAAGAAAATTTGGGAAGATGGAGTACTCGTCATATATAACCCCACATGATAAGCTTCCCGGAGTAAAAGGGTTTCTCCGGTCACGTGGCCGGGGTCTGGAAATGCTTTCTCCTCTCCGCACAACTATGGAAGAGGTCTTGAAGTTAATTTAGTCTGCAATTTTGTATGTAGGAAATTATGAATCCGCCTCGGGTTTACATGACCATATTGCCTGGTTTAGTTCATTTCTGTATGTCCTACTATGCTCCCTGCTTCAGACAGCCTTGAGACCCTGGGCAGCATGTCACTCTTGGGAAAAAAGGAACAGGCACTTAGTACTGGGCCTGTACGCAACATGGACGAAGTCCTACTACTGCTGGCAAAAGCGGTTTTCTGTGTTTCTTCAGCGAAGTCCTGAACTGAAAACAGAGGTTATACGCAGAGATACTTACTAAGGGACTAACACTGAAAATTCAACTTTTCTACGTGCGTAGTTTTACCGCGAAATTAAACTAATTGAGTAGTATAGTATTACTGCCAGGGCAGAATCGCCCCAGCTAGCACCCCCACGCCAAGTCGTGGCTATAGTGCTTCCATAACAGAACTAAAGGGACGAGTTGAGGTTCTGAGATGACTGATATAACGGCCAGGTCGTCATAACGTTACAGCCATATCGCTATGATCAGCTCCGCAGATGCCTAGTCTAGCGACAGTGCTGTTTGAGATAGTCATGTAGGGCGTGTATTAAGAAACTGCGACGCCATTGGTACTCATGACAGTGCCGATTGATAAGGATGGGTGTCCTCCTGAAAACATGTCTTCGGTATTAAACGTCCTCCAGAGCGGGGACATGGTCTTCTCGATCTTCGGTAGCAAGCGTGCACCGTTTAATTTTATCGTATTTGTTGGATTGGGCGCGCTACAAGGCAGGGTAGACGAACAGTATATGTGCCTCAGAAATCCCAGTAAATGTGTACTTTCTTTTACAGTAAAACAACTAAAGAAGGTGAACCGATATCGGAGGCCCATAGCTGTAAAGACTTGGTCTTCGCTAGTGGGCAAACCCTATCGCTTTGTACCAATAATAGTCCATCCAAGGCCCTGCCACATCACATTGAATGGTACCAAGGTGGCTCTATTGAGACAAGAATACGTGTTAGACAAACGACAGGGGAAGATAATACTACTTTTGGTGCTCCACCCAGACCCATCAGCTGAACGAAAGCGCTCAGACTGCCTTTACAGACTATCATCAATGTGAGGTCTCAATACTATTGAGAAGACGCTATTCAAACGTTTGACTTCGGGAGCTGGAATCGCGAAATATGTACTCCGTATAGAAACTTTATGTTTCCCTCTGGAGATATATGATCATCTCGGCCAAAGCCGTATCATAAGGACTGGGTTGGACTTATCATGTGATTCCCAGCCCTTTCTGTCCCTTCGGTCTTTTCATTCTAGGGCAGTCCTATATAGTTACCTTCTAATATTTTGTCTCTCCGTCAGAATATTAACCAACTATTGCATACGACATAATACTAATGGGCCTTCGGAGCAGTCCCAAAGTAGCCTATCCAGAATAGGAGGAATATGCACTGGATGGTTCCTTCATGCTAGGTATTTCAATATCCAGAGGTGCACATCCAAGCAGAGGTGCCACCCTGAGGTCTCCAATATGTGCACGGCTTATGATTGATGGAATAAAAATAGTCGAGTATTTCTTGGCTGAGCTCATGCTTCGTGTATTGAATAGGATACATTGCATGTATACCCGAGTCAGACAAGATTCCGACGTGCAAAAAAGTACCAAACCTTCAGCCCTGCTGTAACGCTTCCAGCTGAGGGGTGATGAACTCATGATTTGAAGCTCTCGATGATGAAAGATTTCCAGTCTCTCAGCGTGGCGTTCTCCAGCTGTGTTGTGCATACCTATGCACAGTGAAGACTTGCATCTGCATACAACCAAACCCCGAGAACGTGAGGACGCGTCACATTAACAGGCCAGCTATACATGATCGACTATAGCTCAGTCATTATCACACCATCCCAGACATTCCGAAATAAACACTAGGACCTGAATCTGACTCATGTGAAGGGTGGGGTTCACGCCCATATGATGTCGTCGAGCGGAGAGCAGGTTCATCAGTGGGGCATCTACCTTGTTTCGTAGCTCTTGTATGGCTACTTCCTTGATCATCGGCGGGCCGAAGCCGTCGCGAGCACATGCTTGACGCTGGATGGGGAAACAAATGAGGAGAGTACATGCATCAAGGTGGGTACTGGGATATGCAAGTGCGGACTCTCCGAACGCATGCTGCTCGCTGTGGTCCAATACCCTTACTCTGCTGCATAGACACGTAGACATAGACCTGGTAGACACCATGCAATACAATAATGGGTGCATTCTACCCGGGTTTCGATTAATATACAGTAAAGAAGAGATTGCGCGTTGAGCAGGAAATGGTATTGCATGACTGCAACAGTGTGTCAAGTCCGAATTGACGTATCCAAGGATTCCCCTCTTGATCCATGCAACTATCGGGGTAGGATCCTATGGACGATTCTATTGAGTCTGTAATATTTCAAATTATGTCATACGTTATCAAGATCATAGGAAGGGGAAAAGATATAAGAGGATTCAGTCCAAGCCGATCCATTCAGCATTCTCAATTACCTCTTCCACAGGAAGACCACCAAAATCAAAGGAAAAAAAGAGAGAGAAGGGAGAAAATAAAATAAAAGGAACGAAAAAATTATCAGCAAAATTGGATTTTAGCAAGAATGTCCGACAATCTTGAGGACGTCTTCGAGGAGGCGATCGAGGGCATCGCCGCTCTCAAGTCCTTCCCGTACAGTGACTTTGCTCACAGACTGCATAACAAGGTCCGAAAGCCTTCACGGCACAATCAAACAGTAATGAGCTTCAGCAATACATTGAAAACGCACCAAACTATCCCCCAGATGATTACGATGCCGACTTCAACATCGATATATTTGCTATATTCGACCTTTTGTACAAGCTTTCGATACCGTCGGGCAGTGACGGAATCGCTGGCGTTGATAGTCAATATGATACAGAGAATCTGAAGAAATACGTTAGCCAGGTGAGTCTATATACAGATATTATCTTACTTTGGACCGTCTAACAGTCCCTGGTAAATGAAACAGGGAAACTCAGAAGTTCGCTATCTCGAATCCCTGACCAGCCTGATGGGATTTTGCTTGTGCGAACACATTAATTTCGAGCTCAAGTCTCAGGGAAAACGCACCATAGATGACCTCTGGCATGTTGATGGCTTTCAAGACTACTGCTTGGACATGATCCAAGGCGACTGGTTTACATCGGCCCACATATTGACGGACATTGACAGACATGACCATCTGTTTAGTATTTCGTGGCTGCTCATCGCTGACTACATGCAAGACAGAGACCATGCTTTCCGCAACTTTCCAACCTCGGGCGGCGACTTTCAAAGCAGGGCAAGCTACCAAACCCTAACCAAATGGTCCTATAATCTGTGGGCGAGTGAGGGTAAAGGAAATCCCGCCAGAATGGATCAGATCGTGGAATTCTGCGGCAGGATTGCTACAGTTGGACTTTGTCCCCCGGATCCTACAACGGGGATTCAGCGCCCTACGCCTGTCTCCAGAGTACTGAAGTCGTTCTATGGCATGGGGATGGAGGTCTTTGATGATGGTGACTACCAAAGGGACCTACAAGACAGCTTGGACAGACTCGATGACAAAGAGGACATTATAAATGAGTGGCAGACGTATTGCCAGACTTTTACCAAGACTTGGATCGAGGAAATTCGGCCCTACTGGAAAAAAGGAATTTACAACGCGTTTCGAGATAAGCAATGGGATGCTATTAGATGGTGGGAGTATATCAGTGCGTTGACCTTCCTAATGTCGGTGTCTGCAGTTTCTGATATTGGGCATAGGTTATGATGACCAAAATACATTTGGCTGGGGGATCGATTACCTTCCAGTAGAGAGCCAGCCATGGATTGGTGCTAAAGTCCAATATCCTGAATGTACCATCCTTGCTGGAACCCCGATTACGCTTTCTGATGGCACGAAGCGACCGGTAGAAGCGATTTATCCGGGTGATCGTCTGCTGACCCATGCAAGCCCCAAGACGGCTACCACGGGCATGCAGTACCTTATTAATCAGCAGGTGAAGGGAAGACTGATCGGATTCAGTGAGTGAATACCTAAAGCAGCTATTAAATGGGACTAATCAAGAATGCAGATGGAGAAAGCCCCTCTATTCTAAGCTCGCAGGTCTTTCATACTACAACTGGATTGCGGGCTGTGGACCCAGAGGCTGCGCAGCGTTTGAACCCTTATCAACGGATTGGCCTCCTGGCCACCGGGCATGTTGTCTTTCGCCTGGAGCAAGACAAATATACTATGGTCGAGATCAAGTCGATTCGAGAAACAGAAGAGTCAACCTTTGATCAAGCATATACGCTTGCATTGTACGGAGAGCAACAGACATATCATGTCCACAGCTATCTGGTGGACACGAATAGCCCACGCCACACTCTGCGAGAAACAGTTAAAAAGCTGCGTACAGTTCCCGGCAGCAAGCGACTGGGTATGCTGTCCCAATGCCCGGAGATGTGGCCAGTTTTCCAGAAGTTCGATGGTCAATGCATCGATCAGCGGCTGAACTGGGAATTGTTTGGGAGTTACGAGTCGCCAGATGGTGAGAGCCCTATTGTAAAGAATTCAGTCTCGTATGAAGAGCACCTCAAAGTACGGAGGTCCCTGTTTCAAAGAAAGGGTATTCCAATCGACAGCTTGACAAGAGGGTTTTCTCTTACGCCGCATCACCCAGACAGACTTCCAGCTGGGTACCAACTTCCCACTCTGAGCGTAGTCGACGGGTATCTTCTGGTCGATGAGGAGGTGCAGCTCCGGAGTACATATGACCCTCGCGAGAGATGCTTCCGATGGTCTCGGGAGCTCCAGCAACAAGGCTTATTTGAGCATGGTGCAGTGCAAATCAATTCCAAGGCAGTATCTGGTACGGGCGTGATCTATCTTTCCTCCGAGGAAGAATCGCAGACAATGCCTTCCCGAGAACAGGTTCACCCATTCAAAGCCCATGCCCGAAGCCTGGAAGAACTGCCTGCTACCAAAGAAGTTGGTGGTGATGGATGGAGTAACGTCGATAACTGGGAGTTGACTCTAGACCGAAGTGTTTGGCCTCCACCTGCAGAGGGAGAAGACGATAACCCCCCAGATGAGCCACAAGACCCAGTAGAAGGAGGAATCGTTGAAAATGGCTACTGGACAGGGGCGGGGGGATCAAGACCCACTCAGTGCGGTTTCCTGTGGTTGACCAGCTCCGGGACCAGATTAACAAACGTTTTAATCAGAACCTAGGGGCTTTTTACAAGGTGTTCTCGACGCTGAAAGACGGCATAAATACCTTTACTGTGGTGTTTAGCCGGGCTCCATTTGTTCCATTTGTGTCGGACTCTAATACCGGGCTTGATATCAAGAAGAAATTCCAGGTTGGATTTAACCCCGACCTGGGCGCGGATGTGACTCTACCGGCGCTCTACCAGCAGATGACATTTACAATCAATGGCTTGCACACGAAACTTAGGGGGTATTTTTTCGAATACGACCCAACCAAACGAGGATACAAGGGTGATCGGTAAGCGTCGGTATACAGAGGTAGCAGTCAAGGATACTAATCCAGCCAGGCACTTTGTAAAGGGGGACAAAATAAAGTCATCAGCAGTCGATGCCTGTCGATCAAAGATCTCGCATGCCTACTCTTCTGTATCCAATTTTGGTGTGGCTACCTCGTTTAATGAGAGGCCTCAGCCAGCTCCAGTCACAAAGGGCTTGCTCAGCAACACGGAGCCTGATCTCGAGGATCTGTATGACTTTGTGGGATACACCGAGGTCGAGGTGAGTACCTAGTTCCCAATTATAGAAAAGGAAGCCTTGACTCATTTGTCTGTCAGCTACACAACGAGACCCAAGGCCTGATTCGCAAAATGATGATGTACCACATGGACACAGACCAAAGAAAAAACATCCTTCGCGAGCCTCAGCCCACTCCAGGAACAGACATCCCCCACTCTTTGGCCGAAGACCTACCGCAGGAGCTGAAGGACTTTTTCAAGGATAAATATGCGCCTGCCTTTATCTGTCGCTATGTGGGCCGAACACAGAAATACTCGAGCTCATTCACGAAGCAAGAGATGAGGAACCTCTGGTACTGGTGGGAAGGCAGTGGTCCCAACAGTCTCTCCCAGAGTGAACATTACAATGATATTAACCGCCTGGGCTCAAGAGTGGCAATGCAGCAATTATACCAGAAGCAGCTGGAACCATATATGAATGACCACCCAGAACAATGGGCGCAGGACCTACACGATGCGATAGTCGGCAATCCCGATATCATAAATGACTGGGTGCTAAAGCCAGTCGAGGGTGTGAGTATATCTGCGTTAGGTACTATGTTGCGAATACTGGCTAATCTATTGTTGGGCTTTCTTTAGGGCATCAATAAAGTCAACAAGCAATGTAACATCTTGGATGCGCTGAGTCCGTCGGTTAAGTGGGCCCAGGAAGTGTTTGAGGTGTTCATGGCTGCTGTAGTAGACCAAGGGGCAGGATCCGCAAATATCGACGATGATGATCAGGACCAAAAATATCAATGGATCCATGATTCCATGCACGACTTTATTGTGGCCGTGTTGAATGGTGCTGACTGGGTGACTGGCAAGATAGAGGAGTCCTTGAAAGAAGACATCCTCGAGTTTGAGAAGGAACACGGATTGAACCAGCAGGCAGATGCAGAGCAACGGGCAGAGGCTATCCTGGAGAAAAGCTCTATCTTCATGAGGGAGATGGCAAGCTGGATATCCACTATCGGTAAAGGCTTGCAGGCTGCTTTTGGAGGCGCTGCGCTATTCAAATGGGCCGGCGAGGCCATTGACAAGATCATCGATGATATTGGAGACAAAGGAATGTCAAGACTGAAAGGGATTGGGAGCATCTGCATGGTCCGTACACCAGATGTCTTAAAGACTTAAGACACAGGGCTAATGAATAAAACAGGTCGGGGTTAGTATCGTAAGTGCCACGCTGAGCCTTTACAGCCTGGTGAAGAACTGGGACAGCACGTCCGATGCTGCCAAAGCAACGGTTATCATCGAGGTCATTGGAATGGTGGTGGATGCAGCCGAAAGGGGCTTTGATGCCTTCAAGGCCTTCAAGTCCGGGCCTGCCACCACAGTGGAGGACCAGGTCAATATGGAAGTCCTGAACGACAAACTGTCAGAGGTGATATCAGAGAATGGCGAGAAGTTTGGGGAGATTGCCCAGGAAATCACTGGCGAGGAAGACTACCGGACGGTGATTGGCGATAATTTGCAGGGCGAAGGAATCCCGACCGAGTTTTCGGGCGAGGAAACCTGGAACGAAGAGCTTTCGAGTGTCGCCGAGGATGTTCCACCGGGATATGAAGACGTGGCCAAGAAGTTTAACATCTCTGGCAGCCTGCTGCGCATCCTGAACGCTATTCTAGGAATAGGTCTGGTGGTGGCCATGTCATTTTCACTGGCCAACGATTGGAACTCGCTCTCAGACACTGGCAAGGTTCTCGGGGTGTTGAATGTAATTGTTCAGGGATTGACGGTTCTGCTGGATGTCATCGACGTCGGTGCCGAACTGGGACTGTATGTCGTGACCGGGGCGATGAGCGTGGCCTTGCCTATCCTAGGTGCGGTTCTAGCTGTCATTGGGGTCATTCTTATGCTGGTGCAATTCTTTATCAACCTCTTCACTGGCAAACAAGACCCTCCCGATCCAATCAAGGACTTCATCAACGACGTGGCTCACAAGCTCATTGCAGCCTTCGATAAAGCCCCCGAGCCCCAGCTCACCTACACTCTTGATAACGACAAACCCAGCGCCGGTGGTGTTACCACCCTAACCATTGAGGCCGTCAATAACTCCTCCAATGACGTGACACTATCTCACACCACCATCTCGCTATACTCTGGCGACGACGACGTCTGTCTATTCCGGAACGGCGCAGACGAAACTGATTTGATTCAGCTCGTGGAGGAAACCGATGCTAACGCAAAAGACGACGGCCATACATATCTCACTCCAAGCACCGTCACCGTGGGCCAGTTGCCGCCTCCATCCAAGCTGGGAAATACCTCGACCTACTACCAGTACGATCTCCAGGCTGCGGGCCCACCAGCAGAGAAGTCCAAGAGTCTCCAGCCTCTCATTTTGAAGAAGGGAGAGAGGCTAAAATCCATTTGGACGGGTAAAGTTAACGGAAAAGGCGAAGATGAGGAACGCTCCACCAGCTGGATTGAGCTGGTTGAGGTCGGCCTGAAGGATAAGTGTCAGATGCAGTTTATGTTAACTCGGGTTTGAGCTTGACGGCCTTTGTTCCTTGTGTTGCTTCAGTATACACTTACGTTCATTAAGTATTACAAATATCTGCAAAGTAATGCTTGAGGCAAATCAGCCTTCTTCATTCTATATCTTACTACTCAGTTAAGTCTGCGTATACATAGTTTCCAGATACACTCTTTACCTCGAACTCCTGGCCCTTCGCCCCATCTTGGGGCATGGCTATATCCCTCATGCACCTGATGTACTGCATTGTATCTGCTAATAATCCTGTCGTAAGTCCCGGTTTATGGCAAACCCCCCCCCCCCTTCTGCTGCGCTGATCACATCCCGTAGGAGAGGTCCGGTCTCACCGCGTACAGTTTCTTTCAATATACGATCGGCCACCTCATCATCGTCGTCTTCACTCTTGTATAAAAGATCATTTTAAGGGCAGTATGGTGAGCCCCTAAACGGCTGGTCTTTGGACAGGTAGACCTCGGTTTAGTCCTAAAGATTTGGCCGAACTTGATGGCTACTATGGAATGGGCCGTTGAGACGATTCCTTGCTTATATTCAGTTATGGTGTCGGTATTGGACTAGGCGTTATTCGGAGATAATTATTAACAGCATGTTATTTGTTTGGTTTCAATTATATGTTAATAATATGCTAACATCCCCTGGGTAGTATATGACGGTTTGAAGTAAAGCTACGTTGAAAGTCCCCGGACGGAGAGTAAGTATATATTCCGCAGTGTTGATACCATACACATTGCCTACAAGGCTTACGTATATATGACACTTGAAGATAAACCACGGTAGAGGTGATCTTTGAGACGTGAGAAGTGCACAATTACCGCAGTGAGATGGCAGAGATTTTTCCTCCCTCGATTCTGCCTCTATTAGATACTAGTGATGTGAGAACCTGGATTTTCCGTTTATCGACCAGAGGGCGATAAGATAGCTAGGGTTTTGGCGGTGAGATGTCCGGAGAACCAGGACCTCTTCAAACTCCGCTCACGTGAGCCTGAGAAGCGGCTGTTGGTCAGCATTGAACGATTCCCCACAATCATAACTGCGGCCGGAACTGTTTTCGGAGCCCGTGGAATCTCCCCCATACTCTTCCCTCCTCCTATCACGCAATAGGGCTTAACAGCGTCGGAATCATCTTCGAAGGCATGTCTATGTCGGGGGAGCAGCGAAATCGACAAGCCTGTGAACCGTGCAGGTATGGTCTGCCTTTCCTTGTCTAGAGTCTATTCTAACTGCACATAACCAGACGTAAGAAGTCCAAATGCACGGCTGAGAGGCCAGTGTGCTCATTTTGCCAACGTCTAAATCTGCAATGTGTCTACCTCCCCCGAGAACAGGCCAAACCAGACGGAGATGGGAACAGGGTTATGAAGACGTGAGTGACTCTAGAGACTTCAGGTATTTTAAGGGTATTGTCTCATATCACAAAATATAGAAGGTCAACGAAAGAGCGATTTCAAGCCCTTGAGTCGGAGATCACTAAGATCTACGATATCTTGACGTATGTTGGATACCCCTGCAACAGTGATTTAATTCATATAATGCCCAGAAGTACATTGACATTGAAGCTCTCTCCACACCCACAACGATGCAGCGGCGCATGAAACTTCAACATCCCGGAGCGGAGAGCCACGGGAAGGCTCTTCCATCGAGATGCCAAACCTGCTCCCACGGGTAGGAAATTCTAGCACTATCCCAAGTTTTGAGCCATCATAGTAGGTCTCAAATGCCCATCCTGAACATTTGTAATCGTGTATCCCATATCATGCCAATCTAGCTAAGTTACACAAGTCTCGAACCCCCGGTGGAGGCTTTAGATCATTTCGTGGAAGTATATCGCACCAGGATACATCTCCAACCATTGCCATTGTTTAACCTTGATGGCCTACGAGATCGCTTGGTGACATCTTCCCGATTTCTTCTTTACGGCTTCCTCGCTCTCTCTTTGAATTTCGGCAGCCATGAATTTTATAGGGGCAGGGAACAAGAGGCTATCGAGGTCTATACTCGCTCCGCACAAGATGCGACCATGAAGCTGGCTGTGGAAGGCATCTCGAAGATAGAGGTTATAGAGTCGCTATGTATACTTGCTCTAAAGGACTTGATTGGTAAAGCGATGGGTCTCTATATCGCCACTGAGCGGATTATGCTGATCACGTAACTCAGGTCAGAAGCCGGCTCGTGCGTGGATGACAATCGGAACTGCCTCTCGCCTAGATACTTTGCGAAGATTAACACGCCATTGTACTTCCGGTGCACAGACCGAAGATAGGAGTGCCCGATGTCATTGGTCTGTGTTCATACTCGAAAAGGCCTTTTCCCCCCAAGTCTTGGATCTTTCGTCATCTCAAGATACACCTGATTATCCCCTGAGTGCCCCCTTGCCAGCCTCACCGCCAGGCTACCGGGATGAAAACTGTCCCCCTGATCTACATGTTTCTGAAGAGGTTAATAAGGACCTCGGCATCAATGCATATCACATAGACATGGTCTCAGTGTGGGGCGACCTTACGCGATACTTACATGGGATACGATCTGGTAACGTCGAAACGCCTTGGTTGCCCGAGTCAACGCACGCCAAGCTCAGTGTGAGGCTGTATGAGTGCGAAGCCAAGTTACCGCAAAGACACCTCCTGAGAAATGTTTCTTTCTCCAAGCGATCGATAGCTGAAATTATGCAGGAAAAGGAATACTGGAGCCCTTGGCTGGCTATGCAAATGCTCTCCCATGCATCACCGGCTATCCTGAATCACCCATTTATCCATTTAGTCGCGATGCGTGGTAATCGGGGTGTGCCTCAATCACGTCTATTTCTTCAACAGGCCGTGGATCTGGCGTTGTTTCATTCCGGCTGGGTGTTCCAGTTTGTACAATTTTGCGAGAACCTTCAATATGAGATCAACGATCCATTGATTGGACACGCAGTTGCGGCGACAGCAACTATACCATGGCTTTTCCAGTTTGCAAGAGACCCCAAGGTCTCAAAGAGAGCATGCGATGACCTTGGCAGGTGTGAGAGATTCTTGAGCCGTATTTCCTTAACCTGGCCACATATTACTCGCAAGGTATGTTTCACACCGGGCAAACCACCACTCATCCGGTGAATTTGTAACTTCTGGTCGGTTTCTTCTTGGATCCATGGCTAAAAACGTCTCATAGCTCGAGATCCTTCAGCGCCTCCAATATGTTGCGAAAGAAAAGCCCCAGGAAGTACCGGGCGGTAGTATAATGATATCCTTCCAACCTCAAATGCTCTGGGAGCTCCTCGATCCCAAGGTCTGCCAGGTGCCACAAGACGACCTTGCCTCGCAAGGCGGTGTCTCACAGCATTCGGATGTCCCAGACACTAGGATGCGAGTTACCACTCAGTTCGTTCACCCACTCGTAGATGAGCAAGCTGAACAGTCAAATCCTCCCAATCCTGCCGGCAATGCTATGTACTCCTTTCCGCCAAGTCCAGAGGATCTTGAGCAGGTCTGCCTGGATGAAATCCTTGCCCACTTTCCACGCGAGGAGTTCTATTGGCTAGAGGGATAGGTGTAGGGATTATGTCTCCTTGCCTTGATGATTGCTTAAGAACCATTATGATGACAGATATTTTATATTGTTGTTACCTTTTTCCTGCATTGTAGTCCGCCACTACTTGAATTGTTGATTTGTGTCTCCTGTGTTATATTACCTCAGCCACTACCGTACGGACTCGATCCCCTGCTATCGCTTTCATGTCGGAAAAGGTAATACAATCCCACAAAATAAATGAAATGAGACAACGATGGGTTTACGAAAAGTATCGATGTAATCCTACCATGACTATAGTAGTATTATATGGTGTATGAAACCTTTAACGCGAATACTTAGCATGGGCAGATGGTCAATTAGGAACGAGTTCATATAAAACCACGCATTAAAATTACAACCGATGGCCTCAAGCTGGAATATGGCCGCGTCTGTTTCTCTTTCCTAATTTCGACCAAGTTAAGCCGCCCCACATAGCCCTACTCTACTCCATCTCCACCTCTTGACTTCCCCTCGCCGCTTGCTGCTCACTTGGTAGAGCTAGGTATACCAGTGAGGGTATACAACTAGGCGCACGTAGTGTTTCAATATCAGACCTAGGCCTGAGATAATCTCAGAAGTAGTAGTGTTGTATATGTTACACTGGACTTAAATCCCGTCATTGGCTGAACTTTTGGGATAAACAATCCGTTTCTAAAGTCACAATTCTCCTCCAACAAGACGAGAACTCGGATTTCATGAACACAAAGTCACTGAAGAGTCTTATCCCTACCACGGTATCTGCGACTGTCAATTGCCTGCCACTGTTCGGTCCAATGCTCTGCAACTTGGCCCAGCACATTCGAGCAAGTTTCCGTCGATCTCAGGGACCCACAGCACAGGCCAGTCAAGCTGCAAGAGCTTTGTCACCTTTGATAACTTTTATACCGAGTCCCAGGTACCAAGCTACCTATTTGGTAGGGTATTCCATAGCTGATTCAACTGGCGCGGCTGACAAATACCCAAGCGCAAGGCACGCGTTCAACTGGATGATTGCTTGGATGCTGTTGTTTGCTGCGAAACACTCCGCGGGAAAAGTTAACAGTAGCGAAGAACATTACTCTCCGACTTTTATTGCCCGGATCCATGCCATAGTGTATGAGGGGCGCGGGTTTGTTTAATATAGCTGAGAGGAAGATTGAGGATCGGGTATGCATCCGATGATTTCCCCACAGCCGGCGATGCACCCGGGGTTTTTTCCCCTCATCGGGATAAAGTACGCGGGATCTTGCACCATCGCCCGGCAATGCCTCCGAATTATATACGATTATATACTGCCAGCCCTGATAGTATTTAAGCTATACCTCGTCCCCGAGTCTTTTCCATTGTTGTATTTATCTATTAATCAAGAAAACACAGCAAAAGTGAGTCCCTCTGTATTCCTTTTGACCAATCAATGCAGACGAACAACCGCTAATACTTGTGTTATAGTGTCTAGCAACCTCGTCCCTCTCACCGTCATCAAGGGCGCCGGCCACGAGTTCATTCCCCTTCCCCAGGGCGAGAACGCAACTACAGCCGACTTCCATTCTATCCGCACACAGACTGAATCCCCCGCTTACTTCACCTCGGGGTTCTATAAGATCGAGGCTGGCCCTCAACGACCCGCCCACTACACTTTCGAGGAGACGAAGTATGTCCTGAGTGGCCAGATTGATGTTTTGGTATGCTGCCCTTATACATACGACAAGATATATCTTTAACCCTACGGGGCTTAAGTACACATATTCTTGAATAACGTTAACATTTATATTTTTCCTTCATAGGACGAGGCTACCGGAATCACTCACCACCTAGTCCCAGGCGACTTTGCTTTCTTCCACGTCGGATCCAAGGTCAAGGTGCGTCACGACCCTCTTTATCGTTGTCCTCTATCCCTATGTTCCCCTTACCGCTCATGCAGCAAGACATTAGCTGACATTGCTCTAGTTCTCAACCAAGTCACAAGGATTTGCCTTCTACGCTGTTACGCGACCTGTTCGCGCTCCCCACCCTAACCTTCAGGGCCGGGAGGAGAGCAAGTCTAAGTTGTAAAAGTCCATGAGATAATGCATTCTTTCTGTCTATGTCAAGTATGAATTTATAGATGAATAGATACTCGTCTTTACCTTGCACCATATTTGTCTGGTTGAGTAACAGTACCGTTTCGAGTAGTCAGAGAATATGAGGAATAAGACGAGATCTATTGACCTCAAGCCCGGCATTTTATAGGAGGTACTAGTAAATGTCGACTAATGGGGCTTGGAATGTCTAAACCTAGAAAATAAAATGATTGTATCAGCAATTATATCGGAGGGCTACGTTGAACTATCACCCGAGCTACGCATAAATAGAACTGAATATATAATAAATGTAAGCTCTCTCTTATGCAATAGCATGGCAGGTGGAATCTGTGGCTTCTATTGTTGTGTCATTCTAATCTTGGGCCTATGTCATAGGGGGCGTAGGAAACGTAGGGGAACATTCCCTCAACGCCTGCGGCAGGAAATAAAGCACTGAGTAATCAGCGAGTCTAGGAACAGGGCGAGGTAGGGTTTGCTTCACGTCACAAGCCTCGGAACCCCGCGGCAGGTAATATAACAACGCCCCACCGTTTATGGATAAGCCCAACGATAAGGGCAGCGGTTCCTGGCGCTATTGATCTGCTAGTGCAAATGCAGTAATCGTTTGGCCCCCACTTGTCCAAGTTCTCTGGAAGCGAGCATATCAAATTGCAAATAAACTCTCAGGCACCGCTAAGGAACGACTAAGGAACCAGGGTCTCTCGAACTAGGGCAACACTTCAATCATATAAAGTGGATAAGACCCAGTGTGCCCGGCCGAAAATCTTTCCTCTTCTTGTTCATGTCGCTCCTTCCGAAATCCTTCAAAGTTATATGCTTTTCATTCGTTTCTACTGATCAAATTTGAACATACATCCAATAATGCATGCTCAATCCCTACTCTCGTTTGCCCTCGTGGCTTTTACCTCTTCAACCGTGCTAGCTGACGAAGTGGCCACTCTTTTACTGCCTGAAATGTATGGACAAGATCTTGTTGGAAAGGTCATTGGAACTGTACAGGACCCCAGCCGAATTCATACCATCAGACAAAGATTAAACTAAAACCTGCAGGATGGCCCCCTAACCACATACGTGATCAACTGCCACCCAACGCCTGAGAATCAGGACTTTCAGCAAGTCGGGGATTGTGACATCTCATCGCAAGGCTGGACCGTCACCGGTGGCCCATCGACCATTCGTGCCGTGTTTGATTACTCTTATTAGTATGTTTCTATTCCCGGTTACTGAGAGCACCAGGGCAAGTTGCTTAGCTAGAACAGCAACTTGAAGGAGGACTGCTCTCTCATTTCCTCCACTTCCCTCTCCTGCGCCCTGACTATGGAATACGGCTCTTCTACCGAGGTAAACGCCGGTGGTACTGTCGGCCCAGCCAGCAACTTCTACCAAACCGTGACCATCACCGGCACTGAATTAGTCTCCGGATCCGCTTCCGCACAGAATACTCCCACTGCCACTCATGCCACTGCCACCCCTACTGACACCGCCACTGGGACCACGTCCGCCACTCCCACTGTTACTGGGTCGGGCAGTGGGCAGCAGAAAGCCGCAGCGAATACCGAATCCTCGACGCCAAAGGCTAGCCAGAGTACCAATGCGGCTCCGGCAATAGTCACGGGCAATGCTAAGTGGGCTTTTGGCGGCGCTGCAGCTATGGCTGTGATTGCTATGGCATAAGACTAGGTCGCAATGCAACACAGCGTACTGCGCTATTAAGCCATATGTTCGATCCAGATGTATAGTATGCTGGTAAATTATGTTGCCCACATGAGCCTCCGCAGTTATTGATGTCTTGTGACTAGACTGACACCTTAATATCCACATATGTACCTATACATAATAATACACTGTATACCTTTCAGATACCTGTTCCGGATAGAACTTTATCCAAGACAAAATATGTAAGATCCTCCCTGTCAGGATATGCAACTAACTGCGACGACCCACACTGAGGGCTATTCTATGACGACACATACAATATTCATCATTGCCTTGCTTGGAAAGGCGACCCATCACCGTCACCATTGATTTATAGACAAGTGCTGTCTGAAGGGGAGATATATTTGCTCCAGCAGCTGGCCTATGGATGCACGGGTTGACACTTCGATGTATAATTGGCGTATTAATATTCGAACTAGGTAAGAAATCGAACTATATGCGACAGCAGCTGGTACAGTCATGCTTATTTCATCTGGCTTGGGTGGTTAGACATGCCAGATGCTTGCATCCTGCTTCGTGGTATAGCTCATAATCCCTATCCTGAGTGCCTGATGCCAGTCTGGCAACAAAGCAGATTTCTAGATCCGACTGGGATGTATAAAAAATATCGCCACGTCGGAAAAATTGAGTACATATGTTGGGTTGCCCATAGTCATATCGATTGCAAGATGTTTCCATTGAGACCGCTCGGCCGATCGGCCGATCGGTATATTCGTCCTTTTTAAATCAGGCCTCAAAACTCCCACTAGACATGGGATCCCAAGGTTCTCTACAATTAATCTACCTTGCTTGCCAATCTTAAAAGTTTGTTTCCATGAGTGAGAAAAACATGGTATCGAACAATGAATTCGGCGCGCTTCATCTAGAGTCGGACCTGAGCAAGGTATGATCGCATGGGATGGGCAAGGCGACACGCACAATCCTAGGTGAGAACCCATCATGATTAACAGGCAGAGGAGAGCAAGAACCCATTCTAGGATCATATAGTGGAAGTCCACACTGATCATTAACAGGAACTTCTCCCCCGCAAAGAAGTGGACTACAATGCTCTTACTCAGCGCCATGATAGCACTGAGGTTTGTTATTCGTTTCCACAAGACTCACATAAGGCGAAGACTAAGAGGTTCCGGCAAAGCTTTCTTACATCTACTATCGTCTCGCCGGCAGCATCTCACATCACATCTGAGTTTCACGTTGAATCAGCCATCCTTTCCTCCCTGATAACCACTATATTTGTACTCGCCTATATGGTATGTTTGGGTTCACACGACGCCGAAAATATATTTCGAGATACTGCTGACAGCTTCCATGTTAGTTTGGCCCGCTTATTCTATCTCCTCTCAGCGAGCTGTATGGCCGTCGTCTGATACTTAACTGTACCAACGCCGTCTTCACCCTGTCCCATATTGGCTGTGCGCTAGCACCAAACGCTGGAACATTCCTCGCATTCCGCATAATATCTGGCCTTGCAGGGTCGGTAAGTCTATCTGTTGGGGGAGGAATAGTTCCGGACCTTTTCGATGTTCATGAACGCGGTGTGCCTAATGCATTAGTCACGACGGGGTCATTGTTCGGGCCTGTATTAGGGCCTCTTTTTGGGGGAATAATCACACAAAGAGCCGGTTGGCGATGGATATTCTGGGTTCTTCTCATCGCCTGCGCAGTTGTGTCAATTGCCATGGCGGCTTTCACACTAGAAACGAATGCAGCGGTGATAATCCGTCACAAGGCATCAAAATTACGAAAGGAAACCGGCAGAGAAGATCTCCAGAGCGCATACGACTCCGAAAAAACCTCCACCAGTTTCAACAATCCTTGGCTCCTAGTAGGTCATGCAATTTCCCGCCCCTGGAAAATGCTCCTCCATTCCCCTCTGTTGGTCATCCTTTGCATCATGGTAGGCCTCATCTCAGGTCTACTCTATACCCTCCTTACAACCACCTCTTCCTTCTTTCAAGAGTTTTACAGGTGGTCTCTCGAGACCGCTGGTCTTGCATATATGGGCCTCGGTCTTGGCAGCCTGGTCGGTCTTATAGTGTTTGCGAAGACTTCCGATCTCCTCACCGTCCGGCTCACCAAGGCAAACAATGGTATCTTTCAGCCCGAGATGCGCATAGTGACGGCGTTCCTCCCGGCACTGTTCATACCAGTGAGCTTTTTTGGTACGGCTGGTCCACGCAAGCCCAGACGCATTGGATTGTTCCGTTGATCGGTCTAGTACCCTTTGGCTTCGCCCAGGTGGGAATCAATGCGACTGCTCAGGCGTATGTAATTGATGCGTCTGGACCCTTTGCGGCATCTTCAATGGCTTGCGTGACATCCGTGCGCTGTCTTTTTGGTGCGTTCCTGCCACTGGCTGGGCCTAGTCTTTACAGTCATCTCGGCCTGGGATGGGGGAACTCATTGTTAGGCTTTGTTAGCCTGATCATGCCTGTCTTGACGATAATTATCTATAAGTTTGGTCGGAAACTTAGGGAGAGGTACCCGTTGTATACAGAATAAGAATAGACCGTTTGCCGTTTTCAAATCCCTCCATATATTCAGTTGTAGAACTGTCTGTCTTCGCGAAATCCACCGTGAAGATCTATAACCGTATCTCAAATAGGCTAGTTCATGCCGATTAATCAACCAATATCTATATTTCTCAGGCGGACATAGCTCTTATCTCAAACTACTCTACCTTCAGATTAGGGCTTGACTAGGCGTTCTATAGGCCATGCCGTTTCCGGTTAGCTCTTAGTTAACGTAATCCACGGGCGAGTGGCTATCCCGGGCGAGCGGCCACGTCAACCAATTTTAACTACGCTTGAAGAATCTATATATTTCAACTATCAACTATGCCACTAAAAGTAGCCAGAAAGTTAAAAGATTCTATTGAATAAGAAGGTAGAATTCTACTAGCAATCTTAGCTATTAAAAAATAAGAAATTTGTACTATAGCTAAAGTAGTATATATTTATAATATTCCACGTACTACCCTTCGGAGACGTTTGAATGGCTATACTTTTCGAGCCGAAACGCGCGCCAATGGCTATAAATTGATTTAAAATAAGGAGAATTTGCTGGTATACTAGATTTTATCGCTAGATTAGCGTGGAGCACTGCCTCGACCTGTTTATGTACGAGAAATGGTTAATATCTTACTTTTAAAACGTGGTTTTACTGATACTTCTACTACTGTTGGTGAAAACTGGATATATTCTTTTATTAAATGCCGTGAGGAGTTAAAAACTTAATTTTCTCGTTGCTATAACTATCAGCGCGCTAAATGCGAGGATTTTAAGCTTCTACGTGAATGGTTTAAGCGTGTACAAATCACTATAATGTAGTATGGTATTTAACCGGACGATATCTATAATTTTGATGAAACTGGCTTTGCAATGGGCTTAATATTTATTGCTAAAGTAGTTACTTGAGTTGAGTTAGCTGGTAGACCTTTTCTTCTATAGTTAGGGAACCGGGAATGGGTTATTTCTATTGAGTGTATTAGTTCTAGGGGGCCTCTTCTATCTTGTTTTATTTTTAAAGGCAAAGTCTATATTGAGGGCTGGTACGAGATGGGTCTATTATTAGATTGACGTATAGAAACGAGTGCAAATGGCTGGACTATCGATAAGATAGGTCTATGTTGGCTGTAGCGGCTATTTATACTATTTACTGTTGGCCGTACGGTTAGTCGATATCGGTTTTTAATACTTGATAGCCACGGTAGTTATTTAACACCTCGGTTTGATGATATATGTAGTTAAAACGATATTATACCTCTCTGTATACCTGCGCACTTATTTTATCTATTTTAGCCACTTGATATAGGCTGCTTTGGTCCCTTAAAATGCGCGTACGGACAGTTGGTTAAGAATAAGATAAGATTAGGCTTTAACTATATTGATAAACTTGATTTTTTTGAAGCCTTTCTTTAGGCGAGAGCTTAGATATATACTACTAGTAATATCTGCAGTGGTTTTTTAACTACTGGTTTTATTTTTTTTAGTCCTGAGCGCGTACTATCTCAGCTGAATATTTAGTTAGAAATAATATCTCTAGGTAGTAGACCTAGTAGTAGGTCTATTGATTTAGTGTTTAAAATATCTTATAATCTAAAGTAACTATAAAAGTAGGAGACTATGTTAAAGAAGCTACTTAAAGCTCGTACAAGGAGCCTTGACTCGTCTACTAAGATGGTAATAAAATAATTTTTTAAAAGCTATGAACGAGCTTTAAATGAAGCTACTATTGTAAAGTAGAAAGCTAGGGAACTACGCGCCGCGAATATAAGAATATTTAAAAAGAAAAAGCGCTTTACTAGATAGATTACTATAAAATTAAATGCTTTAGTTTAGAAAGTTTAGAAGCTTATATAAGGTAGAAATTCTACTGTAAAGTTTATAACTACTGTCTTAGTAGATATAGGTGCTCCGGTAGAAAGCCAGCGTGTATATACTCTACTAAGGTATTCTGGCTGTAATATACTAGGATATAAAATTACTCGGTATTTTAATCGTCAGACTATTTAAATTTTCTATAGAAATGCATATTTTTCGGTGTTTTGAATAGCTTCATTTCTAGGAGGTGCGTAGAATTCTGATGTGGTGACCGCTCGCCCGGGATGGCCGCTCGCCCGTGGATTACGTTATCGTATTCTGCTGACTAAGCGACAGTCTTGATCATCTTCAATAAGCCATCGGAAAGTCACAGGCAATATACATATCGGTTTAGCTTTAGGGGCGCCTCGGGCAGTAATATATGCCATGAACGATCGCACCGCCTTAGGCCGTCAAGGCCGTCCTACCTGCGAACCATGCCGCCAGCGGAAAGTCCGTTGCAACAGAAAGATGCCGTGCTCGCACTGTTGCCGCCTACAGCTCTCGTGCGTCTACGAAACACGGCGCAGGCGTGCGCCTATCAGGGCACCATCCAGGGCTTCGCCACGACTGTCCTCTTCCAGGACACCGCCTGCTCAAGAGCAGGAGCTTCGTAATGGGACACACGAGTTTCCTACCAATCAAGACATCCTAGACAGACTTATCAAGGTCGAGGGGCTTATTTCCGACCTCAAGGCATCTTTCGATCATGGTAAAGCATCCCCTGCCCCGATAGAGCACGATCAAGATGCACCGGGTCCCGTTCTAGTACCGCCCGCCCAGCCCCCTGAAGAAGCCCCGATGGGCGAAGGGGTGAGGGGCAGCTACGTTGACAATTCAGTGTTCGTCAAACTGTTCCTGGATGTAGGTTCGACACCTGTTTCCATATTCCGCCGATCCTAATGTGGCCAGGATACGTCTCGACAAACCTCTGGAAGTGCCAAGCTACCAAACAGCTCATCAGGCCTTTCAATTCATCGCCCGTCCATGCAATACGGGATAGTTGCCACCGACGTCTTCGGGTATCAAGTTGATGATATCTCCATACCTTCCCAAACATACGGAAAACTATGGTCTCTGTACAAACAGAATTTCGATCCCCTGGTGAAGCTCTTGCACATACCCACAATACAACCAGTCATACTGCACGCCTCGGCCAATCCCCACGAGGCAGACGATACAACAATGACCCTGGTATACGCCGTTGCGTTCGCAGCTACGGCAACCGTGCCAAGGGCTAGATCAATAGAACAGCTCGGGTTTGAGAAGACACTCCTCCTGCGGCATCTCATGCAGCAAATGGACAGCGCATTTATGAGGGCGCAATTCCTGCTACGCCCAAGTACATGGGGCCTGACAGCGCTTGTAATTTATTTGGTACTTCCCCTCCCATCCCCACCTATTATTACCATACCCTAATGAGTATAGACGGCACTGAGAACTCACGACGCAACACGAACCATCTGGATACTGACTGGTCTTGCCATGCGCATTGCCGAGTCACTTGGGGTCCACGTAAACGGCACTCGTCTGGGTCTGGACCCTTTTGAGACTGAGATACGACGGCGGCTTTGGTGGCATCTAACTGCTCTCGATGCCACTGCGCCTGAAAGTCACGGGTTCAATTCAACAACTGTGGACCGTAATCACACTTGTCTGCTACCGACCAACATCGACGACGTCGACATTTCTCCCCAAATGACAGAGCCGCCGATCGAGAAGGATCACTGGACTGAGTTGTCCTTTTCCATCATGAACCTGGACCTGTGCCGCAGCTTACGGCGCGCCATCGCTACAACCACACACAATGATGCCGGGACTAGAGTAGACACGATATATGAAACTGAGCGCAAGGTTGAGCAGCAATGGCTGCGACTCGCGGATATGACGAATCCACTATGTCGTGCTGCAGATGCTCTGCTGCGCATATCTGTCTTAAAGACACGTTTCATCATGACGCTTCAAACATGGCTTTCGACTACCAAAAGTACGGATTGCAGATACAATCACCTCCCTCAGTCGGTCTTCACGACTGCTATCAAATTACTCGAGGACGGATATCTGCTTCAGTCAGGGAAACTGTTCGAAAGCTTTGCGTGGTTCTATCAGCAACAACCTCAGCTGTACGCATTGTTCCTTGTGCTTCGCACACTGCACGCCTCACCCGGGAGAGCCGAAGCGGATAGGGCATGGGTTGCGGTGGATAATTATTTCACCTGCCTCACTGACTTTGAAGAGGCGTCTGAGATGAAGGGTAGGACGAGCTGCGTTTGGACAGTCCTCGGTCCATTGCGTGATAAGGCCAGAGAGTCGTCTGCGCAGATGAGTCGCGAAGCGCAAGGACTGGTAGCAGGGCAAGCATCGTCTACACTATCCCCTGCCCACCTGAGACAGACAGGTTCTCCCGATGAATCTGGCCCGCCCCTCTCAGCCACTGAGATTAATATGCAGTTGTCGCCATTCCATGCCACACTCGAGCCTTCGGCTTTACATGACATGCTTGTGTGGCAGGATTTCTCAGATTTGATCAATCTCGATGCAAGAATGTTTTAATTAATCAATCTAGTAATATAGGGAAGGTTCAACAACAGCCATGCCATGTTAGTATCCAAACAGCTATATGTGTCATCTTTCCCCAGTACTCTGATGGAAAGCTCGCCGCGTGACGTAAAAATAAGCACTAAGTCGTGGAGACCCGCTCGGGATCAAGGCTAGTCTAAAGCTTATGATATGGGGCCGTGGTAAAAGACAAGTGTCCTACACAGAGCTTCTGGTACGCAGTTAATGTAGCTCTAGAATGGTTTGCTTAGCATAATAGCATGAGCTCTGTGCTCCACTTCAACATGTGAGATGAAAGAACACACTCCCTCCAGGGCTAGTTCTTCTTTTGGATACATCGCATAATCTCCTATTAACGACATATAGCGAGGGACTGAGAGCTGGAATAGAGTTCTAGACCCTGTTGCAGTTTTTTAATACACACAGGGGTATCATAGGTCGATATCAGTCAAGGTGTACTGCTAAGCCTCAGCCTTTGCCTATTTGGGAACACCCATAGCACCCTGCAGACCATCTATCATGTGAACCAACAAGAGCGTGTAGCACTTCCATCTGTCTCGTAGTATAGCAGTAGTCTACGTGTCTTCTACATAACTCCTTGGATCGCTATGTAATTCACATGCACCTTCCCGGAGTACTTACTCGCATTATCATTTTCAGAATTCATCTGCCTAGCCCTAAATACATAGTTATATTAGATCCTATAATGACTGTAGGTACCGGATCCCTGTTCACTAGAGCCAACAGAGAGAGCCGGCCATCGGCCAATAAGTAGACGCTACGTACCGATAAATTACCTACCACCTATTAGATACTAGATCCCTGCGTCCATACTATATATACAAACCCATCACAACCTCCCACCTCTCCTATCTACACTCATACACCTCGTCCACTCAATCAAGCAAGACAGGTACTTTCCCCCAATCCTCCAACTACAGAGTACTAATCTCATCCCATATAGACGAAACGGAAACCCCACCATGAAACTCTCACTCAACCTCATCCTGATCATCGGATCCGCCGCCATCAGTCATGCCACTCTAGTCCCGGTCCCCGGTGCCACTGAAGAGCTTTGTGGACGTCTCGGAGTCATGTACTACGATCCTGATAATCTTCCCCATGGCATGGAGGTCCACGAAATACGGAAGTGTGCAGGCCATCCCTTGGGTCGCGAGAACTATTGGGGCTGGGGGGATTACTTGCCGAGATGGTTTCCTTAGGTATTAAGTACTTTGGGGGGGGGGGGGGGGGTATCGTGTTTTCAGGAACAATTCTTCCATATGGGGTTTTGGATGCAGGGAGCTGCTCTGGTGGTATTGATGGTATT